GAATTTTCAGAGTCCTGTGATGAATGAGTGAATGAATGAGTGAGTGAATGAATGAATGGGAGAAACCTAGGTCTTTCCATTTGCAGATTTTAGAGTTGGTTATTATTCATTCTACTTCTAGCCTCCTTTATTTTACTTTGCTTAACTGTTTTGGGTCTCCATTTCTAGACCTAAAAGTGCAGTAAAATAATAGCCTTTCTCACTTGACTGTCAAGAGGGAAAAGTAATTGCCGTCATCTCTGAATAGAAGATACTAGATATTCCATACATAACACAAGTTGAGAAAAAGTTCATGGGTTCAAATATAGTGTACATAAAATCTTGTATCCTGTATCACCAAAGCAAGAAGTCTTTTACACTTTTTTTTTTTTTTTTTTTTTGAGACAGAGTCTCGTTCTATTGCCAGGCGCCAGGCTGGAGTGCAGTGGTGTGATCTCGGCTCACTGCAACCTCCACCACCTCCTGGCTTCAAGCAATTCTCCTGCCTCAGTGTCCAGAGTAGCTGGGACTACAGGCATGTGCCACCACCCCCAGATAATTTTTGTATTTTTAGTAGAGATGGGGTTTCACTATGTTGGCCAGGATGGTCTCGATCTCTTGACCTTGTGATCAGCCTGCCTCAGCCTCCCAAAGTGCTGGGATTATAGGCGTGAGCCACCATGCCCAGCCCGTCTTTTACACTTTTCTGTGCACATGCAAGAAATCAATGTTTGAATGCAGGAACTTAAATGAATCATTATAATAACCACCAATAAATGTCTACTGAAAGTATCATGACTATAGTTAACAATATTGTGTTGTATATTTGAAAATAACTAGAAGAGAGGATTTTTAATGTTCTTACTACAAAGAAATGATAAATGTATGAGGTGATAGACATGCTAAACATTCTGAATTATTACACAATTTATATGTGTATCAGAACTGCACCTTGTACATACAATTATTATATGCCAACTAAAAAGATTTTTAAAAGTCTGCTGAATTATTGAAACTCATGTGAGAATCCACCAATTTTCAACAGGGATAAACGGAGAATGGCAGATAATCAGGGAGTTTCCCTGATTCAATTTCGTTCTACAGAGGCTGCCAGACTTCAGTTTTCACCACTGTCAGCCTTATGCAAACTGCTTTAATGTCCTTTGAGAAGGAGGCGATGTATCATATGGGAAAGGAGAGAGACCAGGCTGCAAGCTCGCCTTGGAAAGACTTTTCTGCCACCAACACATTTTCGGCCAAGGTGTGAAAGGAAAAACAAAACAGAAACCAACCCACTCTTTCCCCTCCTTCCTCCGACAGATGCGGAGCCCAGGGACACAGCAGCGTGGACTTAGAGAGCTGAAAGCAACTCCAAAGTTTGTTGCTGGGTGTGGGTTTCAGAGCTTGCAACTACGTTTGTTCAGACGCGGTGGAAATCGAGCATTATGCAACACTATGAATAGGGAACCCTCCCTGTGTCGCTATTTAGAAATTGGATGCCAGGCTTCCAATCCCCAAATCAATACAGCCTCCTCCAGGAGCCAGCTTTTCAGAGAATCCTGGCTTTATCGGAAGTGCTCGGCTACGTGGGGAATCAGAAGGATCTGACCCATCTTCCAGATACAAGCCTGGTGGGTGAGAGTTTCTGCTGGTGTGAGAAAGTTTGGCTAGGTAGTGTTGTTCCCGAAGTGTGTGGGTGAAATGGCTTCTGCAGTTGGAGGGCAGGGACCTGCCCTAATTTATCTATGCAACCCCCTCACTTGGGTAGCAGCCAGGACCTCGATCCACCCTTCATCACTGCCATCGTCACTCCTCCCCCCCCCAACAATCTTACTTCGTTCCTTTTAATCTGGGTCCGATGATCTTGTCTCATCAACACCCTCGATTTCCTTCCTCCTTGTCCTTCTCACTGAAAAATTTTCCAGCTGGGTTCTCACCTTCATTGCTTAGTTGTTAGGGGGGGAAAATGTATTCAGCTGTGCTAGTTGGTACCCCACAAATTACTGGCAATGACCTTGCAGCATTTTCTTGTTGGCTACCTCTCCAGGAGAGGAATTGTTATTAGCCCCATTAATCAGATAAGAAGACTGAGATGCAATTGTCTGTCATCGGTTGATTTTCATAACGTCTTGGGAGAAATATTAGAATTATGTATCCTTTCCATTCAGCTAGGAATAGTTGCTGCTAATTAAATCTGGATAACGTTTTGACTCCTCACCACACCTGATTATTACTTTGGTTTAATTGGTCAAGATTTTTTTTTTTTGAAACAAAGTTTTACTCTTGTTGCCCAGGCTGGAGTGCAGTGGTGTGATCTGGGTTCACTGCAACCTCTGCTTCCTGGGTTCAAGCAATTCTCCTGCCTCAGCCTCCCATGTAGCTGGGATTGCAGGCATCCACCACCACGCCCAGCTAATTTTTGTATTTTTAGTAGAGACGGGGCTTACCATGTTGGCCAGGCTGGTCTCGAACTCCTGAGGTCAGGTGACTCACCTGCCTCAGCCTCCCAAAGTGTTGGGATTTCAAACGTGAACCCGCATGCCTGGCCTTATTTGGTCAAGATTTTTTAAACCCTTAGAAAAGTGACAATAGAAAACCTAAGTGTTTGTTTTCTCAGAAATCTTTGGAGGTGACACAATCAGGAAAAGGAAACTAGGGTGAAATCCCAAGTTCCTGGCTGACTGAGCTCTAGGAAAGAGATAGCGAGTTTCTTTTTTTTTTTTTTTTTGAGATGGAGTTTCGCTCTTGTTACCCAGGCTGGAGTGCAATGACGCGATCTAGGCTCACCGCAACATCTGCCACCTGGGTTCAGGCAATTCTCCTGCCTCAGCTTCCTGAGTAGCTGGGATTACAGGCACGCACCACCATGCCCGGCTAATTTTTGTATTTTCAGTAGAGATGGGGTTTCACCATGTTGACCAAGAGGGTCTTGATATCTTGACCTGGTGATCCACCCACCTTGGCCTCCCAAAGTGCTGGGATTACAGGCGTGAGCCACCGCGCCCGGCCTGCGAGTTTCTTTATATCATCTCCTAGTATTATTGTTAAAACGTGAAATCCACCTAATCTTACTTCATGAGTTAATTTGATCTTTAGCCACTTAGCTGTGTAGAGAATGCCGGGAGCTGTCTGCTAATTCTATTCAATCTCACTTCTGGAGACTATGTGCAGGAATTTTAAAGATACACTGTTTCTAAATTGGGAAACAGGAGAAATCCTGTTCCTATGCATTCCTTTGCTCATCTGTGAGCACTGCCTTCTCAAACCATTGCCAACCACTCCACAGCTTGTCAGCAGTCCCCTTGGGCACTTCCCAAAAGTCATTTCAGTTCAGTAAGAGAGGTAAGGTGTAGCAAACAGAGGGCTTCCCAGGGAAATCAGAAATGGGTGGGAGTCTGGACCCAGTTTCACCTGATGCTAACTTGCTATGACTGACCTTTAGTCAATCCACTTCTGTGTCTTTATTTGCACACAAAAAGAGTGGACTACTCTTGCTATTCCAAGTGTGACCCAGGGACCAGTAGCACGGGTATCACCTGGAAGCTTGTTAGAAACAGAGCTGCAGGCCTCACCCCAGACCTTATGAATCAGAACCTGCATGTTAACAAGATTTCCAGGGGATCCATGGGCACATTAAAGTGTGAGAAGCCCTGGATTAAATGGATTCTTGACCCTATGATTTATTTTATTTCTTTTTGGCTGTTGTTTTGATACTATTTATGTTGTACAGCATGGTGTTTTGATACATGTGTACACTGTGGAATGGCTAAATCAAGCCGTGCTAGGTAATACATGCATCACCTTGATCCTATGATTTAATAATACATGTTTGGCCGGGCGCAGTGGCTCACGCCTGTAATGCTAGCACTTTGGGAGGCTGAGGCAGTTGGGATCACCTGAGGTCAGGAGTTCGAGACCAGCCTGGCTAACATGGTGAAACCCTGTCTCTACTAAAAATACAAAAGTTAGCCTGGTGCGGTGGCCGACATGTATAATCCCAGCTACTGAGAAGGCTGTGGCAGGAGAATCGCTTGAACCCAGAAGGCAGAGGTTGCAGTGAGCTGAAATCATGCCATTGCACGTCAGCCTGGGCAACAGAGTGAGACTCTGTCTCAAAAAATGAAAATAAATAAAAATACATGTTAACAACTCTCATTCCCCCTCTCTCCAGGAGTGTACAGACTAGTGACAAGACTTGGGTTTGATTCCTGACACTGCAGCACTCAATCTATGACCTGCTCAAGCTGCTTTTTCTAAGCATGGAAACAAAGAGATGGTTCTCCAGATCAGTGAGAATGTCTAAACTGACTTTATATTCCAATTATAGGGAAATCGAACATTAAAGTGAGGAACAAAAGCCCAGGCCTCTAGGAGTGGAGCTGGCTCACTGTTTTCACTTTCATTTTAATTATTATTATAAAAAAAAAATTTTTTTTTGAGACAGTTTCAGTCTTGTTGCCCAGGTTGAAGTTCAATGGCGTGATCTCGGCTCACCGCCGCCTCCGACTCCCAGGTTCAAGCGATTCTCATGCTTAGTAGAGACGGGGGTTTCACCATGTTGGCCAGGCTGGTCTCGAACGCCTGACCTCAGGTGATCTGCCCGCCTCGGTCTCCCAAAGTGCTGGGATTACAGGCGTGAGCCACCGCGCCCAGTCCATTTTAATTATTTTTTTAAAAAGTAATGAAATTGTAACTGTTTAAACACTTCATTTGAAATAAAGCGTAAGTCACTTCCTGTTGGCTTTACAACCTTGCCAAGCTCTAGAAATATTATTCAGCCTCTCATTCCAAATTCACATTCAGGCGAAGACATTTCTCTCCAGTTCGCAGCTGGGGACGGATAGGTAAACAAAAAATTAGTTGCTGGGCTGGGCCTCAGAGAGACCACGACCCTGGAACGCCAGTTGAAAACCAGCGCTGGGAAACTTCCCCGTCCTAGCGCCACCGAAACACTCTTCCTCCGAGTCTCCGCCTCCTCCTGACGGAAGCCGCGGGAGGCGGAGCTAGTGCCGCTTCAGTTTCTTGCCGGACGGACGCTAAAGCCCGACGCACAAATCGGGAATGGACCATTCTTTTAACTCATCCAAACTCGAGACATTCGCCAGGAAATTTACAGAAAAGTTCCAGAAGCATCTTTTCATTTATATTCTATAATACTGGCAAGCTCAAGACGTAAAAGAGCACTTTAGGACAAGTGATTCTGCTTTCCCCTCTCAACTTTGAGACTGAACGACTTGGGCTCGCTTATCGTCACTTCCGGTAATCCAACTGTGAATTTCGGAAACTGCACGCGCCGAGAGGCGAAGGTTCTTGCGGCGGTTGTGTTGCCATGGGCCGGAGGAGAGCTCCGGCCGGTGGGTTGCTGGGACGGGCCCTTATGCGCCATCAGACTCAGCGGAGCCGAAGCCATCGTCACACTGACTCCTGGGTAAGACAGACCATGTCGTCTGTCACCATGTTTTCTGTCTAGCCTGAGTGTTGCAAAATTCCGGGTCAAAAGTCAGATAAGTTTTCCTGGATGGAGGCCTCAGCCGGGTTTGGAAGGATGAGTTGATGTTTTTGCGAGGCCGAGTAGCAGGTCCTCCTCCTCCTGGCAACGTCCAGAACACAAAGGCAGAAGAAGCTTGAAAGGAGGGTTAGTGTGGTGATGAGGCGGGGAGTGAGAGAGGCGTGGAGTGAGAATGTGAAGACTCTTCAATGCCAGAATGTGTTGAGTACGTTTGGATTTTGCCCTAGAAGCCACTGGAGTGCTTGAAACTTTCTGAGCAGGAAAAAGACAAAACGTATTTTTGTATTAGTTTGTTCAAAAGAATGGATCTTCCAGGAGCGATTGGTTACTGCCAGAAATACAAAATTCAGATCCTTGCTTCACCCCTGCGAAGCACCCCCTAGTGGTTTAGCTCAAAGATAAATCATTGATTTCTCAGCTGTGATAGGACCTAATATTTTACTAGGTTACAGAAGGATCTTTAAACAATGATTGAAGTGATTTGGCTTGTGTTAATCATTCTAGTCGTTATTTTCACCACTCATTCCCCTGGAATGAATGAGAATGTATTGAGTTCTAAAATCGTGTACTAAAGTGTGTCCCTGGAGCTAACTAACCGTGTGCCACTGTCACACCAGCTGATTTTCATCCATGTAGTCTGCAGAGTAAACAGCATTACAGTGCTTATCCGTATTCATCAGGTCAGAGTTACTCTGGACATTAGATTACTGGTAACTTGTATTAGTTTTGAAGCAACTTGTTATTAATGAAGCCTTTTAGGAAAGACTGGGAAGATTGAACTTGTATTCTGAAGAATTGAATCCTAATCCTTATTTTTGCTGATTTTATCACTACCTAAACTTTTGGCCCTTAATATTTATTCATACATCATTCATTCAATTTTAGAGACAGGGTCATCACACTCTGTCACCCTGGCTAGAGTGCCAGTGATGTGATCACAACTCACCACAGTCTCAAACTTCTGGGCACAAATAATCCCCCTGCCTCAGCCTCTGAGTAGCTGGCATTACAGGTGCACACCACTAGGCCTGTTTTTTTTAGAGACAGTGTCTTGCTGTGTTTTCCAGGGTGGTCTCAAACTCCTGGCCTCAAGCAATCCTCCTGCTTTAGCCTCTTGAGGAGCTGGGATTACATGCATAAGCCACCACACCTGGCAATTTTTTTTTTATTTGTACCTATACTAAGTATATAACTTAGGGTGATGTTTATTAAACTCTGGGTTGTGTCTGGAAATCAATTTAGTGGTTTGCAACTAGCTTTTTTGTTTTTATTTTTTCCCCAGCAAGATAGAGAAATATCAGAATGTGTGACATGTAATCGGGTATGGTTTCAGTATTCTTTATTGCCCAGGCTGGAGTGCAATGGTGTGAACTCAGTCACCACAACCTCTGCCTCCCAGGTTCAAGTGATTCTCCTGCCTCAGCCTCCTGGGTAGCTGGAATTACAAGCATGTACCACCTTGCCCAGCTAATTTCTTTGGATTTTTTTTTTTGAGACGGAGTTTCGCTCATTACCCAGGCTGGAGTGCAATGGCGCGATCTCGGCTCACTGCAACCTCCGTCTCCTGGGTTCAGGCAATTCTCCTGCCTCAGCCTCCTGAATAGCTGGGATTACAGGCACGCGCCACCATGCCCAGCTAATTTTTTGTATTTTTAGTAGAGACAGGGTTTCACCAAGTTGACCAGGATGGTCTCGATCTCTTGACCTTGTGATCCACCTACCTTGGCCTCCCAAAGTGCTGGGATTACAGGCTTGAGCCACCGCACCTGGCCATTTCTTTGGATTTTTAATGGAGATGGGGTTTTATCATGTTGGCTAGGCTGGTCTTGAACTCCTGGCCTCAGGTGATCCACCCACCTCGGCCTCCCAAGGTTCAGGGATTGCAGGCGTGAGCCACCATGCCTGGCCTGTTTCAGTATTATTTTGTTTCCATTTTACTATACCGAAGGTACTTGAATGTTTTTATCACTGTATGTACATACACCTTTGGGTCACTATGTAAAATGTATTTCTTTTTTTTGGAGGTGGAGTCTTGTTGTGTCGTCCAGGCTGGAGTTCAATGGCATGATCTCAGCTCACTGCAACCTCTACCTCCCAGGTTCAAGCTATTCTCCTGCCTCAGCCTCCTGAGTAGCTGGGATTATAGGCATGCACCACCAAGAGGGCTAATTTTTGTATTTTTTTTTTTTTTAGTAGAGACAGGGTTTCACCAGGTTGGCCAGGCTGGTCTGGAACTCCTGACCTCGTGATCCACCTGCCTCGGACTCCCTAAGTGCTGGGATTACAGGCATGAGCTACCTCACCTGGCCTGTAAAATGTATTTCTTATTGTGGGACTATATCAGGCGAAGTTTTGACTAATTTTGACTAGCACAGTCAGACAATCTGAGTTCAGGTTCTAGTTCTGTCATTTAGTTTTCGACTATAGGCAGGTTATTTTATCTGTTGAAGCCTTAGTTTCATCATCAGTAAAATGGAAATGTAATAAAATCCACCTCAAAAGATTTCAAAAATTAATGAAATTGTGAAAGGGAACTGTCTATTATGAGGTAAGAATGTGCTTCTTTAAGTATTAACTGTTAGTATTGATTCTGAAGGGGCTGCAGCCACCCTTGAGACCACAGACTAATTGCAAGGAAGTTTAGAGCTTATTGGATACCAAGAGCAGAAGAGAGCAGCTGGGTTTATTACCCTGTGTTTTGTTCATAGTTGCACACAAGTGAACTCAATGATGGCTATGATTGGGGTCGTCTTAATCTTCAGTCAGTGACTGAACAGAGCTCTCTTGATGACTTCCTTGCTACTGCCGAACTTGCAGGAACAGAGTTTGTTGCTGGTAAGTTGTTTATTGCTGACTACACGTGACACTGGTCACATTTCCATCTGGGGCTGAGGCTTTTTTTTTTTTTTTTGAGACAGAGTTTGTCTCTGTTGCCCAGGCTGAAGTGCAGTGGTGCGATCTTGGCCCACTGCAGCCTCCACCTCCCAGGTTCAAGCAATTCTCCTGCCTCAGCCTCGTGAGTAGCTGGGACTATAGGTATGCACCACCACGCCCAGCTAATTTTTGTATTTTTTAGTAGAGATGGAGTTTCACCATGTTGGCCAGGATGGTCTTGATCTCCTGACCTTGTGATCCACCTGCCTTGGCCTCCCAAAGTACTGGGATTACTGGAGTGAACCACCATGCCTGGCCTGAGTCTGAACAATGAGTAGCTATTAGGACAGGTGAGATGATATCAGACCTTTTACACAGACAGGCAGAGGACTCTAGTCAAGATGTGAAGCAGCAGCCAATTGTGTTCAGAAAATGGCTAGAAGTTTGGCTTTGGTCATGCAGGGGACAGGGTGTGACAGAGACACCTCCTCAGAGTACAGGTGCTGAAGAGGTGGGCAAGGGCTAGATTCTGCAGAGAACAAAGGTTTAAGGGAGGCTTTACAGGGCTTTAAGCAAATGTGCAGTGGGATTTCAGATTTCATTTTTTAGTGTTTTTGAGGGGGGTGAGTGGGTTCCAGCTTTAGTGAGCTATATAATTGGCAACTAAAAATTGTATATAGTTACAGTATATAATATGATGTTTGGTTATACTTACGCATTGTGAAATGATTACACAATCAAGTAATGAATGTATCCATCACCTCACATTGTTTTTGTGTGTGTGTGTGGTGAGAACAAGATATACTCTCTTAGCAAATATCCTATTATTAACTAGTAAATGCGTTGTTACTAACTGTGGTGACCAGGCTCTACATTAGATCTCCAGAACTTACTCATCCTGCCTCAGTAAAACTTTACTGTTTGATCAGTATTTTCCTATTTCCCCCATTCCCTAGTCCCTGGTAACCACCATTTTCTCTCTGCTTCTCTGAGCTTTACTTTTTTAGATTCCACATGTGAGTGAGATTGTGTGGTATTTGTCTTTCTGTGCCTGGGTTATATCATGGAACATAACGGTTCATTCATGTGTCACAAATGTCAAGATTTCCTTTTTCTTTTTTTTTTGGAACATAAGATTTCCTTCCTTTTTTTTAATGCAAAATAGTATTTCATTGTGTGTATGTATATGTATACATATATCATGTTTTCTTTACCCATTCATACACTGATGGGCATTGAGGTTGGTTCCATATCTTGCCTATTGTGAATAGTGCTACAGGGAATATGGGCGCGCAGGTATGTCTAATGGCTACATGACATTTTTTTTTCTTGCCCAGGCTGGAGTACAATGGCGTGATCTCAGCTCACTGCAACCTCTGCCTCCCGGGTTCAAGCAATTCTCCTGCCTCAACCTCCTGAGTAGCTGGAATTACAGGCATGCACCATCATGCTCAGCTAATTTTTGAATTTTTAGTAGAGATGGGGTTTCACCATGTTGGTCAGGCTGGTCTTGAACTCCTGACCTCAGATGATCTGCCCACCTTGGCCTCTCAGAGTGCTGGAATTACAGGCATGAGCCACCACACCTGGCCGCTACATGAGATTTTATTTTCTTAAAGATCACTGATGAATTTTAAGGAAGCAAGATGAGTTAAGAAACCATATCATTTTAGTCTAGCAAGATAAACAGGCCAGAACTGAAATAGGAGTAGAAGAATGGAGAAAATAAGAGGAACAAGAACACTTACGGAGCTGGAGTAAACCAGACTTGATGGAGAGGGTGGCTTAAGTGACAAAGAGTGAGGAGACAAAAATAAACTCCTGGGTTTCACAATGAAATACTGCTTCACCCACTAGGATAGCTAAAATAAAACAGTAACAAATGTTGCTGAATTTGTAGAGAAATTAGAACATCATACATTGCTGGTAGGAGTAGAAAATGGTGTCTCTGTTTTTTATAAAAAAATTTTGGCAGTTCCTCAAAAGGTGAAACATGGAATTGGCATATGACCCAGCAGTCCCACTCCTGGGTCTATGCCCAAAAGAAATGAAAACATGTACACAAAAACATGTACATGTGTATTCATAGCGGCATTATTCATAATAACCATAGAGTAGAAACACCAAAAAGTCTTAAATAGGCAAATCTGTAGAAAGTAGATTATTTCCCCCAGTTACCTGGGGATGGACAGTGACTGCTGATGGGTAAAGATTTCTTTGGGGTGATGAAAATATTCTAAAATGGATTGTGGTGATGGCCGCACAACTCTGAATATGCTGAAAGTCATTGAATTGTATGCTTTAGTGGATGGATTGTATAGTATGCGAATCCTATCTTAATAAAGTTATTTTCTTTTTAAAGTCAGTAGTAATCTCTGCCAGAACAGTGTTAGTGGAGTGATAGAGCCACAAGTGGAATTAGAGAAACAGAAAGTGGGAGGTGAGGACATCAAGGATTGACTGTTGCAGGGAAAGAGAAATGTAAGGGTGTGTGTGAGAAGGATCAGGGTTAATGGTAGTATGTTCTTAGGTTATGGGTGAGACAGTTGAGGGGGGGTTGGAAAGTTTGCTTTGGCAGTATCTGTTAGAAGTTTACAGATGCAGGCTAGGTGCAGTAGCACACACCTGTAACCCCAGTACTTTTGGAGGCTGAGGTGGGTGGATCACCTGAGGTTAGGAGTTTGAGGCCAGCCTGGCCAACATGGCAAAACTCTGTCTTTACTAAAAATACAAAACTTAGCCAGGCGTGGTGGCGCAGGCCTGTAGTCCCAGCTACTCAGGAGGCTGAGGTGGGAGGATCACTTGAGCCTGGGAGGCAGAGGTTGTGGTGAACCAAGATTGTGCCACTGCATTGCAGCCTGGGTGACAGAGTGAGGTCTGTCTCAAAAAAAAAAGTTTACAGTTGCATATCCTAGGACCCAGCACTTCTACTTCTCAGTGTCTCCCTAGAGCAGCAGAATTGCTCAGAGAACTCTTTAATACATAGATTCCTGGTCTCATCCTCTAGAATCTAGAGCTTCTAATTCAGTGAGTGTGTGTTAGAGCTAGAGCATTTACATTTTTAACAAGCTCCCACATGATGGTGCATTTTCATAATGAAAACTTGGAAACTGAATGTTCCAATAGCAGGGAAAATGGCTAAATAAACTGATATAGTCACAGTATGAAATACTGTGTGGCAGCCAAAAACAGTGTTGTAACTGTGGATAGTTCCTTGGCATAAAATTTCATTTGGGAATAATAATTTATCCAAGGCTAGAAGAATCTAAATGAAGACAGCTGAAACTTTCTTAGGCTCTCATTTGTAGTTTTCTAAGTTTATCAGTATGACCCACACTCTGCATCTGTATTGCCTCTTTTTTTTTTAGATGGTCTCGCTGTGTTGCTCTATCTGGAGTGCAGTGGTGCGATCTCGGCTCACTGATTCTCCTGCCTCAGTCTCCCGAGTAGCTGAGACTACAGGCACCCACCACCATGGCCAGCTAATTTTTGTATTTTTACTAGAGGCGGGGTTTCACCATATTGGCTTAGCTGGTCTCGAACTCATGACTTCAGGTGATCCGCCTGCCTCAGCCTCCTGAGTAGCTGGGACTACAGGCGTGTGCCACTGCACCTGGCTAATTTGGTATTTTTAGTAGAGACGGGGTTTTACTATGTTGGCCAGACTGGTCTTGAACTCCTGACCTTGTGATCCGCCTACCTTGGCCTCCCAAAGTGCTGGGATTACAGGAGTGAGCCACCATGCCTGGTGCTATATTGCCTCTTAAGTAATAGTACTTTTCTTTATTTCAACAGAGAAACTCAATATTAAGTTTGTGACAGCTGAGGCTAGAACTGGACTGCTATCTTTTGAGGAGAGCCAGAGAATTAAGAAGCTCCACGAAGAAAACAAACAGTTCTTGTGTATACCAAGAAGGTGAGTTGAAGAAGAATTTAGAATGCCCCAAAACATACAAGACCACTAAGTATTCGTTCTTTTTCTCAACTGCCACGATTAGATCCAAATGCCCTATTTTGTTTTGGTTACTTCTGTGAGGAATTTCTTTTCCTTCTATGATTGTTTCAGACCAAACTGGGACAAAAAAACTAGCCCAGAAGAACTCAAACAGGCAGAGAAAGATAACTTTCTAGAATGGAGACGTCAGCTTGTCTGGTGAGTATTATAGACTTATAATACTTATCTTACCTTACCTTGAAAGGTGAGTACTTACCTTACCTTGAAATCCTGAGTCCAGACATTTGGCGTGCGTGCGTGGCCATTTGCATTTTGAAGTTTTGATTCTTTTAAAAAGGAAATGGGAGCATTCTACTGACAAGGACGGATAGATGTGTGTGCAAAAACAACACTGCTAGGTGCATACACACCCTTGCACAGGGATAGTGAGTTGGTTACTCTGTTCAGTTCCTGGCCTTTTCTTTCATTCCTTTCTTTGGCCATTGGGCACCCTGGAGTTGATCACTGTGCTCATGCACATTTTCCAGTAAGAGTTGTGGGAAAGAAATGACTTTGTGTGATAGATAAACTTCCAGGGCATAAATAGCTTCAGAATAAAACTTGAATTTGGTGGCATAGTGTATGAATAAATAGTATTTTTATGGTGTCTCAGCAGGAAATACATAAAATAATTTGACTCTTGATATTTGTACACAGTACTTATTTTTCAGGTAATGAATTTGAGCATTTACACTGCTAAAAATTGTCTATTGTAATCTGGCAAAGATACAAACTTCTCACTCAAAAACTAGGCTAGAAGAGGAACAAAAGCTGATACTGACTCCATTTGAACGAAATTTGGACTTCTGGCGCCAGCTCTGGAGAGTCATTGAGAGAAGGTAAAGTACCATTTTCTTTTGTGTAATAAAGACATTGTAGTGACGTTCTATTAGATTTGAATGCTGATACAGGCTTATAGGCTCAGGGTATAGGGAATTAAGTTATGCAGAGGGTTACTGAGAGTCATAAAAAGTATGATACTGTTGTATATTTTGTATAGGTTTTTTGTTATTAGATGAATATGTTGATAAGTGTGAGAATATTGAATATTTTCTGTAGGATGAATTCTGAAGCATCTACATAGATATTTTAGCAAATGTATATTTTGAGTGTCTACTGGCAATATGGAAAATAAGGGCACGGAAAGAATTAAGTTCCTGCCTGCAAAGAGCATGTATGTTAAGGGGAGAGGCAGATGTCGACGCTCATGTCAGCTGACTTTCACCACGGTCAGCTAAGCGCTAAGCAAAGCGGCTGGCACCAGAGGCACACAGATGGATGGATGGATGGATGGATGGATGGATGGATGGATGGATGGATGGATGAATTCTTGCACTCAGAGAGCTTAATACGTAGTAAAATACAGAGGGTGGTAAAATTCTTGCTTTGCTGCAGGTAGAAAGGCTGTGGGCCGAGTCATAGCAGAGGAAAGAGCAGTTGATAAGTATTGAAGAAATCACGAGAATTTTTTTTTTAATTGCACTCTGAAGAGAATGATTTTGACAAATTGAGAATGGAAGATTTTTATTCCTTTTTATGTAACACTAAGGAGAATTCCTGATTGTTAGAAGTTGCTGAATCAAGTGTCTCTAGTCTCACCTCTTTGGTGTAGTTAAAAGGTTTTTGTTTTCCTTGAGGAGTTTCTGAATTACTTTCAAGGACTCCATAAATGAACCTTGTATTTGAAATGATGTTTTTTACCAAGGACCCTTCAGGCTGGTTTCTTTTTCCCCTGAAATCTATACAATGAACCTTATAAAAAGAACACTAGGAAACAGAATGTTTTAATTGGGATTCTCAGAAAAGAATCTTATCACATTTAGCATTGTTATTAAGAAAACGGCCCAGCTCATTCCTGTAATCCCAGCATTTTGGGAGAGCAAGGCAGGTGGATCGCTTGAGGTCAGGAGTTTGAGACCAGTCAGAGCAACATGGTGAAACCCTGTCCCTACTAAAAATGCAAAAATAAGCCAGGTGGTGGCCCATGCCTGTAATCCCAACTACTCGGGAGGCTGAGGCGGGAGAATCACTTGAACCCAGGAAATGGAGGTTGCAGTGAGCTGAGATCGCGCCACTGCACTCAAGCCTGGGCAACAGATCCAGACACTGTCTCCAAAAAAAGAGAACAGGACTCGGATTAAACTTGTAAAAGTCACTTACGTTTCTAATTAGGGTGACGACAATTAAAGTCACTTAAATACCCCCATCCACTGCTCTCTGGGGATACAGAAAGAGCTCTTGGGCTGGGATGTGGGGAGGTCAGAGAAGCAGGGCACACCTCTCAGGAGGAAGAAAGGAAAAGCCTACTGCAGATTACCAGCTCCTTTTACTCAATTAGGCTTGAGGAGGGGGCAGAACCGCTCTCCCAGGGGACTGGGGAACTTCTGTGGAGCAGAGTAGACTCTTCCTTGGTGCCTCCTTGGTAATTGAGGCTGTGTGCTCCCGAGAATGCCCGTTTTCTTATTTCCAAAGAGAAGTGGTAACAAGCACAGAAGTACTGCAGCCTGGACCTTGAGGGGAGCCCCCTCCACCTTCACACTCCGTTACAGTTTTTCTTTTGTTTTCAGAGTTTTTCCTGCTTCCCCTATTATCTGTCTTTCCTGTTCGTTCCTTTTCTTTTGATTCTGGTTCCGGACTGTTACGGAAGAGGCCTTCCTTCGATGTCTAGTGATGCTTGTCTGTCTGTATTTAAGAACAAAGCATTACAAAGCCGATTGACAGGCCTGCCTGTTTAGGTGGAATTCGCCAGCTGGTGAGTTTCGCTGTAGGGTGCCTGGGCAGGAGTCAGTTCTATGTTGTAGGAATACCCCAAGGTGTTAAGATCTGCCTTTTCCCCAGAGCCAGTCCGTTTTTAAAAAGAAGAATGACCTCCTGGCAGGAAAGGGGCAGGAGGTGGTATAATACAGGCTGCTGGGCATCTTCACAGTTGAGTATCTTCAGAGGCTTACGTTTCATTCTCCTTTTTGCACTGTGGCAGCTCTTTCCCGTTTTCCCTCTGAGGTCCCAGTCCTGGAACGTCTCAAGTTCATTTTCTCCATAGTAAACTCCAGCCTTCTGCTGTTGGGGTGGGAAAGCAGGGCTGTGTGATGGGTTGTAGTTGCCTCTCTGAATGGAACAGAGGAGCCGACCTACAAGCTCACTGTTCAGACTGGTTACAGGCCCAGGCCTCATTCTTGCCCTTGAGAGACAGAGCTGATGCTTCTAATCCTGGGCTTTCTTTATTGTCTGGGGCATGAACAGCTTTGCTTCTTATTGGTTTGATATTTGGTTGCTGCTGTTCTTTCTCTTTATCCTAATGAATTTCAGCCTTTGTTTTTGTAGGTTTTGAGAGGGAGCAGAGGTAACCATCTGTGTTGAGTTTAACAGGAAGCCCCTCTTACATTTTTTAAATCCCTAAATAACTTCCCAAGTGAGCCTGTACATCTTGAGACTTCTAGCTTCAATTGGATTAAAGTATCATTTGCTCTGTTGCTCTGTTATTTTTGTTACGTGGTATTTCTCGTTTTTTAAAATAAGAGAATGTTTCCTAACTCATGGAATATAGTTGTCAGAAAGTGGATCTGAGTTACGTAGAAATATTTATTTAAAAATGACTGCCGCCACGTCTTTGAATGGCAAATATTTATTGATGCCTTCTCCACAGCAGATGTCTCCTGTTCGGTAACAGGCTGGCTAAGCCATCTGCCTCTTTCATTCTAATAGTAGTGGTCAGAAAAGATTAGATGTATAATGTGTCGTTGAAATGCAGGAAACCACAGAGGCACTGAGGGCAGAATACTGTATTCCAGGAAGATAAGGCACTTCCATGGTGCTGCATCGACCCTGCCTGCTACGAGGCTGGCGCTTCGCTCTGCATCCTCATTCAGCACATGAAGCAGCTGTCTTAAAATGTCTTCTTTTCTTACTGGTGTTTCTAAACTGACGGTTCTTTCTATACATTCAGTTTGTCGACATAATGTTTGTAGACGTTGTAGTTTGTCCATTTTTTGGCAATCATTTTTTCATTTACTATTAAATATCCCATTTGAAAGTGAATGCTTACCTTAAAGAAGGAAATACTAGAACCAGTTTAACTAGAGAACTTAAAAAACAGTTTGTCCAAAATTAGCAAGTCTGTGAGTTTCGTTGCATCACAGGATTATGCTAAAATTTTAACTATTCTAAAAGAAAATGCACTTTTATTGTCAAAAGTGTGCCCTAAATGGTAACCTTAATTCCTTGATGTTGGGCATATTTGCAAAGTTGCCCCAGAAAAGGCTAGTTAACAGAATGAGGATTTTGGGGAGACCCTGCTGTGAGGTAGTAGTCGTGCATCTGTAGCTTATTTCCTTCCAGTGGCAGTCATGGTGGGCCTTTATAACATCTAGCCTCAGAGGCTGAAGGAAGGGAGGAGCCTCTCAGAGAAGCGAATTTTTTTTTTCTCCTTGCAGTGCTGGAGACCTGTAGTCCCCACTGTATTTGTGAGGGATTTGAGGGGCTTGCCATCAGCTGCAGAGTTGCCTTATTGCCGTACCTCCTTATATGTGTTGGAAGAAGTTGGACTTGCCCTTCCTGCTTCAGCCGGGCTCCCTAAATCCATACTTTCCTGTTCTGTAGTTTTGCCATTTAAACACATCTTGGAATTGGTGGATGACTGTTTCCCAAAAATATGCTTGTTTCTTGTTATTCCTGGGTTTAAATAAGATACTAGTTTCAATAATGGCAGGTGTCAGCGAGTGATTTACTGGTTTTCTTTTGAGGCCTTAACATGAATGCAGATTAGGGATTGAATATCTAGTAGACTTCACCTTGGAGTGAAGTATTTGGAATACCGTTTTATCTCACCAGGAGTACAGTGGATGTTTTGGCAATGAAACGTCATCTGAACCCCCCTCTAGGCTGTATGAGAGCAATAGCATTTATGATTAAGAGCATAACCTCTGGTCCAAGCTGCCTGGGTTCCCATTCTGGCTGTGTTACTTATTAGCTGGTGGCTCTGGGCAAGTTACCTAAGTGCCCTGAGCCTTAAGTCACTCATACATAAACTGGGAATAATTAATACCTTAAAAAATTAATATATGGGCCAGGCATGGTGGCTCATGCCTGTAATCCCAGCACTTTGGTGTTGCAGCGAACTGAGCACAGAAAGTCAACACCAGAAAAAAAGTATGCCAAATTGCAGGGTTTATTGCTGGCGACCACGGAGGACTCACGTCTCTCCAACCCGTGGCCCCGAAAGAAGAGAGATAAGACCTTTTTATACCCGCAAAACTACCTTGGGAGTGGGGGTGGAGATGGGAATGAAAGCTGTCAATCACCTCCCAGGCTAATCCTAGGGCCAGTGTATTCAAATCACCTTCTGGGCGGAGAGGAGGGTGAGGGGGTTCCGGACATTTCAAGGGCCAGGGGACTATTCTGATTGTTATTTAAGGGGTTCACAGATGCTAAGATTAGCATTCATTTACGCATCGTCTGGGTAGGGGTGGGATCCATAGATTTTCAGTTGCTTGGCGCCAGGATGGAATTATCTGGGGCTGCTTACTCTGGGAGACAAAGGCCAGCAATTCTGGCAGATAAGAGAAGGTATGCAGCTATACCTCTCTTTGCATCCTGCAAATAATCTAGCAGTTTACAGAAACCAAGGTTAGCAGTCCTTGTGAGGAGAATGGAAACATTTTTGTCTTTTATAAGATGGCAGTATACAGGTTCCAACTCTAAGTTAGCTATATCACATTGGGAGGCCAAGGCAGGCTGATCACCTGAGGTCGGGAGTTCGAGACCAGCCTGACCAACACGGAGAAACCCCGTCTCTACTAAAAATACAAAATTAACCAGGCGTGGTGGTGCGCACCTGTAATCCCAGCTACACAGGAGGCTGAGGCACGAGAATCTTTGAACCCAGGAGGCAGAAGTTGCAGTGAGCCTTGATTGTGCCATTGCACTCCAGCCTGGGCAACAAGAGCGAAATACCATCTCAAAAAAATAATAATAATAATGTATGTCCAGTGCTTCATATATTGCAAGTGTTTGCTACTCTGGCCATTTCCCTTCACAGTGATTGGTCTATCTCATGTTTGTTTTTCAGTGATATTGTGGTCCAGATAGTAGATGCTCGAAACCCACTCCTGTTCAGATGTGAGGATTTGGTAAGTCAAGTTTGACAAAATTCAAACGTAAGTCCTTTGAGTAGCAATGAGAGGGCCGCGTCACTCAGTGCAGTGACTGTAGGCATACATTCTTTCCTCTCTGGCTTTGTTTAATTAGGCCTCCTCCCCTTCCAGGGTCCGGAGCTTGCATAATGCCACTGTTTAGACAGATGTTTTCTCTTCTCAAACAATTGTTTCTATCTGCAAGAAGGCACAGACACTTACGTGGGCTTTCTAGCTTTTACTTTAGAAGCCACTTAATAGACATTTGCCAGTTTCCCATTTTTCAGGAAACCCCAGTTGAAACAGCATTTTATTTATTTATTTTAGTATATTGCTGGTCACTTCACTTTCTAATTCATCCCGTAAGTTCTCTCTTCTCACACTTCAGTTATGACTCCCTGTGGTATTTTACAAGTGGGCTAAGTTTATGAAACACCACAGGGGTTAATAACTAAGGTGTGAGAATCCCCTGAGATAATGTAATAAAGCTTTGGGTTGAGAACTGTAGTACTGTGCTATAGCTGGCCTAGAGTTAGAGCCTGAACAACACCATTTTATACAAGACCAAGCTTGGCGTCTGTAAATATAACTGCTAGCTTGCTCTGCAAAATGCCCACTATGTAAAGCCGCTCACCTTTTCTTATCAGTAACTGCCCGAATTGCTGGCCTTTGCTTACTGGTAATGACCAGAATAAGCAGCCCAAGCTAATTCCATCCTGGCCCCTGCGACTTGTAATAAGTAACTAAGATCTGTGGATTCCACCCCTGCCCAGACGATGTGTAAACTAATAACTAAGGCTTAGCTTGACTTCTGTAAACCACTTAGGTAACAATTGAAGTGACAAGTCCCCTAGCCCCTTGGAATGTCCGGAGACCTGCGCCCTCCTCTCTGCTAGGGAGGTGATTTACGGAATCCCCTCGCCCTCAGAATGTCTGAATTCCTTCACCCCCACCCCCGCCCCACACCCTCACCCAGGAGGTGGTTTATGGGCATTAAAAGGTCTTGTCACCCTCCTTTCGGGGCCACGGGTTGGAGCCCTCCGTGGTTGCCGGCAATAAAGACCCTGCAATTTGGCATAATTTTGTCTTGGTGCTAATTTTATACTTGATCCAAATACTTCCAGTACATATTATTCTTCATTTATTTATTACTATTTTATATATGTAATTTTTTGTAGAGACAGGATCTTGACATGTCGCCCAGGCTGGTCTCCAACTCCTGGGCTCAAGCAATGCTCCCCACTCCGCCTTCCAAAGTGCTGGAATTACAGGCATGAGCCCCCATGTCTGGCCCAGATTATTTTTAAATAACAAAAATATTAATGATAGGCTGGGCACCCACTATTAATATTTTTGGTGATTCAACGATCACGCCTGTAATTTCAGCACTTTGGGAGGCTGAGGCGGGCAGATCACAAGCTCAGGAGTTAAGACCAGTCTGGCCAACATAGTGAAACCCTGTCTCTACTAAAAAACTTAAAAAAATTCGCCGGAGAGGGTGCTGTGCGCCTGTAATCCCAGCTACTCAGGAGGCTGAGACAGGAGAGTTTCGTGAACCCTGGAGGTGGATGTTGCAGTGAGCTGAGATCACGCCACTGCACTCCAGCCTGGGTGATAGTGCGAGACTTCGTCGGAAAAAAAAAAAAAAAAAAAATTAGTGGTGGAACTTCTTTTCAAAGCTTACTGAAAGGATTAGTATAATGCATCATGATTAAAGATCTTTAAATTTAGGATGTGATTTAAAACTGGGGGCAGAGCTGAGCGTGGTGGCTCAAGGCTGTAATCCCAGCACTTTGGGAGGCTGAGGCGGGTGGATCACGAGGTCAAGAGATCGAGACCATCCTGGTCAACATGGTGAAACCCCGTCTCTACTAAAAATACAAAACATTAGCTGGGCATGGTGGCGCATGCCTGTAATCCCAGCTACTCAGGAGGCTGAGGCAGGAGAATTGCCTGAACCCAGAAGGCAGAGGTTGCAGTGAGCCGAGATCGTGCCATCGCACTCCAGCCTGGGTAACAACAGTGAAACTCCATCTCAAAAAAAAAAAAAAAAAAAAAACTGGGGGCAGTCTGTAGGAGTTGGGTGGAAAAGAGAAGTAGAGAAAAACTAGGGGCAGTAAAAACTTTTATTGGGATCTTCCATATAATCAGCTTCATTTTTTCCTTGTTTGAAGAGGTCTTTCTAAATCTCTGTCTTGCTTAGGAATGTTATGTGAAAGAAATAGATGCCAATAAGGAGAACATCATTCTGATCAACAAGGCAGACTTGCTGACTGCTGAGCAGCGGAGTGCCTGGGCCACACACTTTGAAAAAGAAGACGTGAAGGTTATTTTCTGGTCAGCTTTGGCCGGAGGCATTCACCTGAACGCTGACTCTGAGGTAATCTGAGGGACTTTTCTTGGTTGGGTTTCAAAAAGGAGGATTTTGATTTCTCATTAATAATGCTTCGCTTGTTCTTTGTTTATTCTTATTGGAAATTTATGGGAATTAGAACCCATGTGCTGCATTAGAATGACGTATAGAAAGTAAATCACAGTTACTCTCTCTGTGGCTGTTGAATAGTCTGACATTTCCACTGTTGTTACACACTGATACTAGCTATATTTTTTAATTTTTAAAAAGATTGTAGGCAGGAAGTTGTATAGGAAGTTCCACAATGACCTTGTAACTGCTTTTAAGAGACGTCGGAACACCAGGGTGCAATTGAAGGAGGCAGTCAGTTCTCAGGACTTGATTAGAATCCCTTTTGACTTTGTTTGGAAAACAAAGAAACCGAGTAACCCTTAATTAAGATAAACCACATTATTTTCTTAATCTTGTAACCCAAATTTTGCAGAAGTAGTTGGAGCTTTGTTTTCACTTTCGAATAAAATAGTAACTCTGAAAAGAAATCAGTGATAATTGTAGAGGTGGAGAGGCTTGCGAAGTACTGTCTTTTTCCATGTTCTCGTCTCCTGTGTCTGTGTATCAGACATCTGCTGACTTCAGAGTGTTGTGTCTAGCTGGGTTATGAATACAGCACCCTCCCCTCCGTGAGCTCAGTTTATAAGCTCTCATCTCTGTCTCTGGGAAGGAGTTTCTTCCTCCCCCTCCCTGTCAAACAGTTGCATATTTCTCTTTGACTGCTTTAAGCCACAGGATGCTCGAAACCAGGTAACTCGTTCCTTTTTGCCTCGAAATTTAGAAAGTTCTTCCATTCAGTGGAAGGAAGTCAGCCACCGTATCCTTTGATCCGAGGACTCTGTCCCTTCAGTTCTCTCCTGCAGCTGTGCATTTTGTGCTTTCGTGTTCCTCATAGACACCAGCTCCGGGGCGCCCTCCTCATAGACACCAGCTCCGGGGCGCCCATCATGGGTGCCTGTTTACTTGTGTCAGGACTGCCGGTAAAACTGGCCACGCCTAATTGAATACGTTATTCCAGGTGGTGTTTGTCTAGGGCAGGTACAGAGCACTCATCTTTCTTGTCATCAGGATATTCACATGCATTCAGTTTCTGGTAGTTCATCCCCTTTCAGAAGCTGTTTGCTCTTGGCTCATTGAACCTGTGAGCAACTGAATCCCTCAAATATCAAAAAAATAAAAAAGACTTATTAAGCAAACTTCATCCCATCTTTACATGTAGAGAAAGACATTCGTTCTGTTTTATCTCACCTTAGGATAGTGCTGTTCCCTTTAAATATGTTAATGATTTGGTACCAAGGCAGAGTTCATCTTAGAGTGTGCGGTTAGAGTTTCCTTACCTTCTAGCTGTGAATTTTCACGTCATTGATAACACTGTTGAACAGGATAGGAGCAAGGATACGGCCCTGTGACCTTTTGTGGACTTACTAGCAGCACTCTGCTAAGCGTTTTTACGTGAATATAGATATATTCACAAGAAGGTAATAATAGTTATTACCATCATTAATTAAAACTAACCCGTAAAAGTAATAAGTTAATAAAAACATATTCTTTACCAAGCACCACTGTTCTAAACATTTTACATATCTTACTCATTTAATCTTCTCAGCATTAAGTATAGATCCTTACCATTCTTAGACAGAAGAATAGTTCGCCCTCTTAAACCATTATTTCTGTTGTTTCAAGTCTTTTCTGAACGTCATTGTCTTACTGAAGTTTTAAAAATAGGTATTATCATTATATTGCTCTGCTGCGATGCCATAACCCTGTAAAAAATGGAAAGATGAGTTTCTGCAGGTTTGGCCTCTCTTGACTTACTAATCAAGTAGTCGCTAACAAAGGGAAATGAACCTTTTTGCATGATCAGTAACTCTTATTGCCTCCTGTTGACCGTCTTATTGTTAGAGCTCACCAGGTAACCTGTGGAACTGTTTTAATGTCAGTCACTGATGGAAGGTAATTCCTTCCTCCTTTTTAAGAGTTAGGCACCATTTGATTCTCCCAAGTTTTCTGGACTCTGCTGTTCTCCGTGATTTCTCAGGCTGCGAAGTCTTACTTGTAACCATATCTGTAATGTGGGTATCAAACATGAACGTATTAGAAGCAGCTTAATAGTCACTGTTTTCTCGCCTGAAAGTTGGGTTCATCTTCTGCAGTTGTTCAGCTTCTGTTGTTCAACCTCAGTTTTCAACTTCCGAAAAATGTGACGTTTTTGAAAAGACAGAGCCCAATTCTGAGTTGACTATCTCTGGGTTTCCTTTGGTCACCTGGAAATTACACTGTGTTCCCCAAAAGATTGAGTTTTTCCTTCTTTCTTTTAATTTTTAACTTAATTATGGCAAAGTCCTTTTATTGTCTTCACTACTTTTCCTGAGGCTGAACTGCTCCCAGCTGTAGTTTTTCTATTACACATTGACGTTCAGTTCGCATTCTTGTTTTTCTGTTTCTTTAGTATTTTAAAATGACTCAAAAGAGTTCACAGTGAGGACACTGACTTCTTTACATTCACTGCTCATTTACCATGGAACGTGCTTCCAATTCTGTATTTCTCTCATAAGCCAGGTTTCTTTTTGAGTTGCCAGGCTTGATTGTGAAATCATCCTATTTTTCCTGGCATTTTGTTTTTATTTCTGCTTTCTTAAGATTTAGGATACATGTTTGAATTCACTGTGACCCCTTCTGTGACTGTTAATCATTCTAACACAAAATTACTTGGAAATCATACAAGCTTTCCATTACTTTCAAGTCCTAACAAATTCACCCTTGTTGATAAGACTTAGTAACTGTAAATTGCCTTATTTCTGCTTTGTTGTCAAGAGGGACTCAGAAGAATTAACACACCCATGAGTAGTAAATGATTTTTACCTTTCGCTTTCCAAAGGGAATCTTTCATCTCTTTCATTGGTAAATTTCCACATGTGGAGTTGAGTTTTGCCACCGCATTTCACACACACAGATCTGTGCTCCATGGTACTTTGACTTACTAAAAGCAATTAAGAGAGGAGAACAGTTTTTTTAAACATGCCAACCACTGTCTTTAAAAATACAAACGTGGCCGGGCGCGGTGGCTCATGCCTATAATCCCAGCACTTTGGGAGGCCGAGGCGGGTGGATCACGAGGTCAAGAGATTGAGACCATCCTGGTCAACATGGTGAAACGCTGTCTCTACTAAAAATACAGAAATTAGCTGGGCATGGTGGTGCGTGCCTGTAGTCCCAGCTACTCAGGAGGCTGAGGCAGGAGAATTGCTAGAACCCAGAGGGCGGAGGTTGCAGTGAGCCGAGATCGCGCCATTGCACTCCAGTCTGGGTAACAACAGCGAAACTCCGTCTCAAAAAATAAATAAATAAAATAAAAATACAAATGTAAAATGAACTGCAAATGGCAAAGTTGCCCTTGCTTTGTGCAGAGTATGTTAAATGTGTTGTTGCTCCTGAGAAATGCTTTGTTTTATTATGTAGCCCATTGCAAAATAATGTACTGCCAAAGAATTAAGTTGAACATAAGCTTTTCCCCTTGTGTTCTTTGAAGTGTTGTTGTTTTCTGTTTGTTTTTGGAGAGACCCTGTCTCTGGTCTTGAATTCCTGGCATTGAGCAATACTCCCACCTCAGCCTACCCAAGTAGGGGTATTACAGGTGCTGGGATTACAGGTGTTACAGGTGTGAGCCATCACACCTGGCCGAAAGAGTTATTTTCAATTACAAAAGCAATACATGTTATCTGTATAGAGTTCAAATAGTATAGAAACATATAAAGTAAAAAGTGAAGGGAAGGTCCCATTTCTCCTCCCCTCCACGAGGGCGCCACCATTGATGGTTGTCTGTCACAGCACTGAAAGGCTTTCATTGTCTTCTCCCTATATCACCTTTCAGTCTCCATCAGAACTTTGCTTGTCCTCTGTTCATCCCTTTTTTTTTCCTTTTTTTTTTTTTTTTTTTTTTTTTTTCAGACAGAGCCTTGCTCTGTCGCCCAGGCTAGAAGAGTGCAATGGCGCCATCTCGGCTCACTGCAACCTCCACCTCCTAGGTTCAAACAATTCTCCTGAGTAGCTGGGATTACAGGTATGCACCACCACGCCCAGCTAATTTTTGTATTTTTAGTAGAGACAAGGTTTCACCATGTTGGTCAGGCTGGTCTCAAACTCCTGACCTCAAATGCTCTGCCCGCCTCAGCCTCCCAAAATGCTGGGGTTAAAGAGTGAGGCACGGCGCCCGCCTGTCCTCTGTTCATCTTGCATAACCGATTCATTAAGTATCTTGCCTAGAGTGGAAACTGCAGTTACGTACTTCTGAGTGTTTCTATTTTATCAGGAAGAGGTAAACAGAGATGATAGACAAAGCAATACAACTGAGTTTGAAAACTCCAGTTTCGACGAGGCTGAAATTTCACACAGTGAGACTGAACATCTCCCAGCCAGGGACTCTCCTTCACGTAGTGAAAATCCCACTACTGATGAAGATGACAGTGAGTATGAGGACTGTCAGGAGGAAGAGGAAGATGACTGGCAGACGTGTTCAGAAGAAGACAGTCCTGATGAAGAGGACTGTGGCCAGGACTGGAAGGAAAGCTGTATGTCAGATTCTGAGGCTCCGGGCAGGAACACCCCGCAGAAGAGGCAGATACACAACTTTAGCCATCTGGTATCAAAGCAGGAGTTACTAGAGCTTTTTAAGGAGCTACACACTGGGAAGAAGGTGAAAGATGGACAACTTACAGTCGGACTGGTAAGATGACATTATGTCAGAACATTGTTACCACATAATGTCTTTATTCCCCATTCCTCAGTAGCTACATGAGGACCCCAGAGACTAACCAGGCTTCTGGCATCACAGGGAACATTGCCCTCTTGTTGCCCACTGGCATCATGAGATTAGGCAGTGGGACAGACAGACCCCAACTCGAAGGAATCAGCTTCCTCAAGGGTTGTACTGGTAACATACCTGTTCACATTAAATGCATCCTCCAGTTTCCCTTCAGTAAAGCTTTTCCTGTCATATGAAGGACCAAGAGAGCAGAATAAAAGAGATGTTATTGTTGTCTTCAGACTTCAGCCCAGTGCTCTTTTGACACGCTGTGATCCTTGCCAGCTTAAGCTGTAAATGTTCCAGATGCTTATTAGGGAGAACCCCAACATCTTGGGGCTGGACAAAATTGACAAATGAGTTAGTTGCATAAACACTGCAGAGCATAGCAGATGGGGGAAGTAGATCACATCCCCAGCTTTATATACCCTAGTTCCAAAAGTGGCTGTGGAAGTGCCCAAACCCCAAGGGGCTACAGTATGGTTCTAGGTGGCTCCATCCTTAGCTAAGGAGATGTAAGGTGTTAGAGAAGGTATTTATTATAAAGATCTATCCATAATATAACAGTGAGGGAAAGGAGATCGTGGCAGGTTTGAAAGTCTCCTAGCTTTTCAGTTGCATGCTAAGTATAGCTAATCATAATTATTTTTGAGCCCCCTTCTCTCCTGCCCCAACCCCCTGCCCCAAAATGCCTGCTTAAAATGACTAAAGTAGATTAGCATCTTATTTTACTGCACTAGTTAAAAGAGTTGTCTGTGGAGTCAGACAGGCCTAGGTGTGATTCCCAATTCAGCAGTAGAACTAGCTTGTTATGAACACTGGGAAAGTTGCTTAATGTCTTTGAGCTTTCAAGCTTCATTGTCTATATTGTTGCTAAAAATTTGTATCAGAAAGTTCAACTTCTCTACAAGTACCCTTCTTTCTCACATTTATGGAAAAACTGAGCAGCCTTCCTCATTTTCTGAATTTCTCACTCTAGAAATTCTGTAAACATTTATTGATCACCTGCCACATGCCAGGCAAGAATGCTGACTCTTAATTGAAAATTTAAAAAATGTGTTATGATTATTAAAATGTCCATCTGGTCATCCTCACCCAGTGTCGAAGATGCAACAGAAACAGCTGCCTGTAGATGGGGCAGTGAGGGAAGGCTGGGAACAAGGGGATGAAACAACAAAACCTATACAATTAAAATGTGCATAACCTGACCATATGTCACTGGAGACACATCTGAATAAATATACCCACATCACAGGAGAAAAAAAGATGTCTCAACAAACACAGAGCATCGATTTCAAATCATTTTCTCAAGTAACCAGATGCTTATGCTAGTCTTGCCACTATCTGTAATGCCTCTGAGTCTTTGATAGATGTACTGTTTTCCTGTTTGGTAACTGCTGAGTCTCTTCTAGGTGGGCTACCCTAATGTTGGTAAGAGTTCAACAATCAACACCATCATGGGCAACAAGAAAGTATCTGTGTCTGCCACACCTGGTCACACGAAGCACTTTCAGGTATGTCTGTAGTTCCTTGCCACTCCTATGCTGCTCTTTCTTTGTTTGTTGTATGCCCAGCTCAGACCTCTTATTTGTCTTTCAGACACTCTACGTGGAGCCTGGCCTCTGCCTATGTGACTGCCCAGGCTTGGTGATGCCATCTTTTGTGTCTACCAAGGCAGAAATGACTTGCAGCGGAATCCTCCCAATTGATCAGATGAGAGATCACGTTCCGCCTGTATCATTAATATCCTTTCTGCTTCAGAAACACTGTAGTTATTATGTGCGTATTAGGGCTTCAGGTTTGTTTTAGGCATTTGAGGGATTCAGATTTGATGAGGAATTTAAAATACTAGTGATCTGCACAAGTTCATAGTGTGAGATAGCATGAGAACTTCAGAATTAGAACTTCACTTCCTATTTCAGCAGTGCAGGAATGGAAGAGTCCAGGTTTCAGATACTCAGCTCCAAGTTGCAAACCTGTTTAACAATGCCATTTAACCATTTCAGTGACCTTGGAAAACTTGCTTTGCTTTTCTCTAAGTGGGGAAAAATCATCGATATCACGGTTGATTAATCAGTATAACTAACATATATTGAATACTTGCTATGTGCTTTTCTAAACCCTAACCTAGTATCTTTTAATCCTCAAAAAACAACCCTTAAGGCAGACACTGCTGTTATTCCCATTTCTTCAAACTTGAGGAAACTGAGGCACAGAGAAGTTAAATAATTTATCTAAGCCCTTATAGCTAGTAAGTAGTAAATTAGGAACTCTACTGCCTCTCAGTAGCATAATGAATTAACTTACATAAAGCATCTAGGACAGTCCCCAGCATGTAAAAAGGACTCAAAGATGGATTTGTGAAGAACTATGCAGGGGCCAGTCATGGTGTTTCATGCCTATAACCACCAACACTTTGGCAGGCCGAGGTGCATAGGTCACTTGAGCCAGGAGTTTGAGATCAGCCTGGCCAACATAGCAAAACCCTGTCTCTACTAAAAGTACAAAAATTAGCTGGGCACAGTGGTGCACGCCTATAGTCCCAGCTACTTGGGAGGCTGAGGCACGAGAATTTCCTGAACCTGGAAGGCAGAGGTTGCAATAAGCTGAGATAGTGCCACTGCACTCCTCACTGTGGGTGACACAGTGAGACTCTTGTCTTTAAGAAAAAAGAAAATGAAAGAAAAAAACTTGCAAGATCTGAGATTTTACTCTGTTTACGAGCTAACAAGTTTGTCATTGTTTTGTGGATACTAGCAGAAAACAGGAGACTTCATGAAACTGGCACAGTAATCCATTGGCTTCTGAGTAGGGTAAAATTGCAGACCCTTCATAACTAAAGGCCACAGCTTATTTATAGATATATCTATTTGAAAAAGTATATACCTTTTTTTTTTTTTTTTTTTTGAGATGGATTTCACTCTGTCACCCAGGCTGGAGTATAGTGGTTTGATCTTGGCTCACTCTAACCTCTGCCACCTGTTTAATCAATTCTCCTTCGCCTCCGAAGTAGCTGGGATTACAGGTGCACGTCACCACGCCCAGTTAATTTTTGTATTTTTTTAAGTAGAGACGAGGTTTTGCCATGTTCAGCAGGCTGGTCTCAAACACCTGACCTCAGATGATCCGCCTGCCTCGGCCTCCCAAAGTGCTGGGATTATAGGCATGAGCCACTGTGCTGGGCCTTTTAAGTTTCTAATTAATAGTTAGACATGAATTATTTATTGCAGGCAGCCTCAGGTTAGGTACTGTGGAAGGTAGGGCATGAATGGAGATGGCTCCTGACTTTTATGACGCATCAGTCTGTTGGGGCACATGAGGCATGTATGTGAATAACTTGTACAACACAGAATATCGTTACTGGCTTAAGGAAAATTCAGACAAACTGTAGGAGATTAGACAGAGGAGGAAAAGTAATCCCGCATAATTGTAGACATTAGAAACAAAGACTCCACTTGCTTTATCTCTAAATTAGAATCATCTCACAAATGCGTGATCTTTTCAGGGTAAAAATATGGCATCTTTAAAGTCTGCTTCAGAGATATTTTAAATTATTACTTTAAAAGAATTCCTATGGAAGAGTTGTTGGAACTTAAGGCCTTGTTTAAAAGGAAAAAAAACAACTGAGTCTTTTAAAATTAATCAGTAACTATGCTTCTGCTTTGGAGAGGAGAAAGTGTTTGTCATACAAGTGACGAAGTACCATGTTCCTAGAGGCAGGTTTCTTATGCCATGGGGAGGAGGGAGGCAGTTCAAGAGAATGGTTTCCCTGACAAGCTTACGTTTGCCAGAATATTCCAAGACATGTTTTAGAAGTTACCTATGGGATTAATATCATAAAGCCTAGAGAGGATGAAGATCCCCACCGGCCTGCAACGTCAGAAGAACTGTTAACAGCTTATGGATGTAAGTTGTGATTCATTAGAAAACATGAACAAAAGTAACAGCATACCTAATTAATAGAAATGACAATAGTAATAGTACTAGAAACACTATTGTGCAAAGATAGAAATTTACACTATTTCTTTAGCATTTTCAAGCCGTCTTCCCGGGTGAATGTTTCTGTCTCTGCAGGCCTTGCCTGCAAAGTAACCTGAAGTGCAAATAGCTTTTAGGACGTTTGCTGCTTTGACGGTACCCACGTGCAGGCACAGGGTTCTCATCTTAGGCTGTGTTGGCTCTTTCTGGAGCCTTCTCCCAAACAAGAAGAAAAGGGCTGTGTGGAAGGAAGTGAGTATGCACACCAGAGCGAGACAGGAGAGGTATGAGGGAACACCAGCAGGGAAACCGTCAGAGACGGGACGGAGGGGAGCTTGGTTAGGAGAGAGGCACAAAGCGTCCTCCTTCCATCAACCCCAGAAACCTTACTTGACATTAAAATGAGCCCACAGCCATCCCACCTTCACATTTATCCCAATTCCACATGAGAACCTATGATTTCTTACTTTAAATGTAAACTTTAAAGGTGGCCTGGAGAACCTGTGTCTACCTAAAAAAAAAAATAGCAGTGTTAGGAACATTTCCATGCATGTGTGGCTTGCCTTTAAGGGATTGCCACTTGCTGGGAAGGAGTTCAGGTGATTTCAGTATTTACTGGCAGAGAAAGGTGAAAGGTGATTTGATATGAATCACACTTAATCAAACCTTGAACGTACAGACTCTAACGAGGAAAAATACTAAACACTTGTGGTAAAACTATTGTCATTACAGATTCATAGAGCAAGAAAAGACCCTGAAGATCACCTCACCTCCTAGCCCCCACCTTTTTATTTTTGTTTTTTGAAACGGAAGCTCAGTGTAACCCAGGCCAGAGTGCAGTGGTGTGATCTCGACTTAGTGAAACCTCCACCTCCCTGGTTCAAGAAATTCCCTTGCCTCAGCCTCCGGGGTAGCTGGGATTACAGGCACCCGCCACCACTCCAGCTAATTTTTTTGCACTTTTTGTAGAGATGGGGTTTCATCATGTTGGTCAGGCTGGTCTTGAACTCCTGTCCTTATGATCCACCTGCTTCAGGCCCCCAAAGTGTTGGGATTACAGGTGTGAGCCACTGCGCCCAGCCCTAGCCCCCGCTTTTAAGAGTAATCTGAACTCAGAGCCTGAGCTGACCCAAGGTGAGGTGGCTGGTCAGTTGCATACCCTGGGTGGGATCTCTCTCCAAGATGTTAGCCTGGAAAATGCAGAAAGGTGTACTCCACCAAACTTTCAATTTGATTGTACTTCCAGATAAAACTGAAAAGAATGAGTCTTTTAAGATTTTTCATCTAATGCTGCCTTATAAAATCAGAGTAAGGAAAAAGCCAGTTTGTAAAAGCAAATGACCACACTCACAGTTTTTAAGTTCAGTATCTGCAAGTGCATGTAGAATAAAATCTCTGGCTGTAAATTTTCAAAGATACTGCCAAATTAATGTCATTCATTCTATTTTGTATTTCTTTAAATAGTTGTGAAGTTGAACATCTTTCCAAATGTTTTGTGGCCATTTGTATTTCTTCTGGGAATCACATTTTCCTGTACATGGTTCCTGTCTTAATGAGTTCTAGAAGTTCTTTGTTATATGTGCTACACGTTTTTCCCAATGTTAATTTACGGTGTCTTTGTCCCCACAGAAGTTGACGATTTTAATAGACTGTGTATTTCCTTTTTGGTTTGATTGGGTTTGGTGTTTTACTTGGGAAGGTCTTATCCATCCCAAAAAGATAAAACTATCTGGAGAAAGTTACCTGTGGCCGCCCAAGTCCGCCACTTTGTGCTCTGTGTCCGCCCATTGCCACGATCCAGGAGGACTCCGCGCCGCCCGGCCGCCTCCGAGCTCGGGCCCCATGTGAGGGGCCCCCCCTTATCCCATCTTTCCGGCTAGACTTGAAAGTCCAGTTTCACCAGAGGCTGAGGCTCCAGGAAAAGGGGAGCAAGTTCATTGGATCAAACATGTCACATGAGTCGGACAATAATAAAAGACTAGTGGCCTTAGTGCCCATGCCCAGTGACCCTCCATTCAATACCCGAAGAGCCTATACCAGTGAGGATGAAGCCTGGAAGTCATACTTGGAGAATCCCCTGACGGCAGCCACCAAGGCCATGATGAGCATTAATGGTGATGAGGACAGTGCTGCTGCCCTTGGCCTGCTCTATGACTATTACAAGGTTCCTCGAGACAAGAGGCTGCTGTCTGTAAGCAAAGCAAGTGACAGCCAAGAAGACCAGGAGAAAAGAAACTGCCTTGGCACGAGTGAAGCCCAGAGTAATTTGAGTGGAGGGGAAAACAGAGTGCAAGTCCTAAAGACTGTTCCAGTGAACCTTTCTCTAAATCAAGATCACCTGGAGAATTCCAAGCGGGAGCAGTACAGCATCAGCGTCCCCGAGAGCTCTGCCATCATCCCCGTGTCGGGAATCACTGTGGTGAAAGCTGAAGATTTCACACCAGTTTTCATGACCCCACCTATGCACTATCCCCGGGGAGATGGGGAAGAACAACGAGTGGTTATCTTTGAACAGACTCAGTATGACCTGCCCTCGCTGGCCACCCACAGCGCCTATCTCAAGGATGACCAGCGCAGCACCCCAGACAGCACGTACAGCGAGAGCTTCAAGGACGCAGCCACAGAGAAATTTCGGAGTGCTTCAGTTGGGGCTGAGGAGTACATGTATGATCAGACCTCAAGTGGCACGTTTCAGTATACCCTGGAAGCCACCAAATCTCTCCGCCAGAAGCAGGGGGAGGGCCCCATGACCTACCTCAACAAAGGACAGTTCTATGCCATAACACTCAGCGAGACTGGAGACAACAAATGCTTCCGACATCCCATCAGCAAAGTCAGGAGCGTGGTGATGGTGGTCTTCAGTGAAGACAAGAACAGAGACGAACAGCTCAAATACTGGAAATACTGGCACTCTCGGCAGCACACAGCGAAGCAGAGGGTCCTTGACATTGCTGATTACAAGGAGAGCTGTAATACAATTGGAAACATTGAAGAGATTGCATATAATGCTGTTTCCTTTACCTGGGACGTGAATGAAGAGGCGAAGATTTTCATCACCGTGAATTGCTTGAGTACAGATTTCTCCTCCCAAAAAGGGGTGAAAGGACTGCCTTTGATGATTCAGATTGACACATACAGTTATAACAATCGTAGCAATAAACCCATTCATAGAGCTTATTGCCAGATCAAGGTCTTCTGTGACAAACAGATGGGAAGCCTGGGAGCATGAAGCTAGAGGAAATCCTGGCTCACTCATTTCACTTGAAAATGACCAACAGAAAAGAAAAAGCAATTAAATCCTATAGAATGTTTCATGAGAAAAGAGATTAAGATCAGACTGACTTCCCTATGAATAATGAATGCCTATCAAAAAGGCCTACAAAACAAGTGAAAACTGTAGCCTGATATTTCAAAATAAGCTAAATGAAATTAAAGAAATAATGGAAGTTTGAAGATCAACACGAATCACAATTTGAAAAATTCAGCTTGAGATGTGTAGAAAAAATAGAATGACTTGAAAGGACATGAGATGGAACTCATGGAATTTAGAAATAAAGGATTAAAATATATTAGAAATAAAAACTATGCTAGAAGCAGTACAGAGTAAATAAATGTAAAAGATAATACTTTAAGAAAACAAGCTGGAAAACAACAACATTTTTTAAATCAGAGGAAATGAAGAAAGAGGTGTGAGATAAAATACAGATATAGATGAAAGGTAAAGAAGATGTGATATAGGCCAGGTGCATGGCTCACACCTGTAATCCCGGCACTTTGGGAGGCCAAGGTGGGAGAATCACATGAGTCCAGGAGTTTGAGGCCAGCTTAGGCAACAAAGCAAGACCCTCATCTCTACAGAAAAATGTAAACATTACCCAAGTTCAGCGATGCTTGTCTGTAGTCCTAGATACTCAGGAGGCTGAGGCAGGATGATTGTTTGAGTCCAGGAGTTTGAGGTTGCAGTGAACTATGCTCTAGCCTGGGTGACAGAGTGAGACCCTATCTTTAAAAAAAGAATTCAGCATACATATAATATAAATCTTTGAGAAAAAATAGTGCGAGGGTGGAATAATAAAAATACATATGCTTTATGCATTTAAATACATATGCTCTAAGGGAAACTTTAAACAGAAAATGTATGTATTTAAACAGCCCACCACCCACTTGGGAAAATTGATCCAGTATAACCAATACCAAATAGTTAAGTTATTGGACTTTTGAAAAAAGAAAATAATATAATTTGGGCATCTCAGTAAATAAAATAAATATTAAATTACTTATAAGGCAAATTTGATTATCAAACTTTTAAACAGCAATACCTTGTCAGAAGACAATGTTATTTAAGGTAACGAAGTAAAGAAAATATGAGCCAAGAAGTTTATACGCAGCCAAATTGACTTTGAAGCATAAAGAGAAACACAGGCACAACAAAATAAAATAACAAACTCCCTGAATCCGAGAATATTTCTTCTTAGAGACTCCAACTTTAGACAAGCAATATTACTGTAAAGACACTGATAAAATGACTGGTGGTGAGCATTCAGGATCTGTTTGCCTGTAGATCTCATTCCTAATGATGGCAGAGTGTGACAGTATATTCTGATAAGGTAGACATTGTACAATTATTTTAAAATTGGGAAGGATAGAAAGGAGGGCATATAAAAAATAAGTTGACTAACCGCTTATAGATATTCATTGTAAATGAAAGGATACTACTTCATATCAGATGCCAGGGAGAGAGAGGAAGGGAGAGATGATATTAGCAGCCAGTTCACTATTGCCCATCACTCTTTTTTAAAAATTATTTTTCCATAAGTTACTGGGGTACAGGTAGTGTTTGGTTACATAAGTAAGTTCTTTAGTGCTGATTTGTGAGGTTTTGGTGTGCCCATCACCTGAGCAGTACACACTGTACCATATATGTAGTCTTTTATCCCTTGCCCCCCTCCCACTTTTCCCCAGAATCCCCCAAAGTCCACTGTATCATTCTTATGCCTTTGCATCCTCATAGCTTAGCTCCCACATATCAGTGAGAACATGTGATGTTTGGTTTTCCATTCCTGAGTTGCGTCACTTAGAACAATAATCTCCAGTCGTATCCAGGTCACTGCAGATGCTGTTAATTCAGCCCATCACTCTTAAAGGTGCTGCAGTCAGTTGTATTAAAGGTCTATATGCTGTTAACATTCCTGAGACTTCTGGTTTAGCAATAACAGAGCATTGAGAGAAGTAGGCTCCAGTGAGCAGACAACAGTGGCAGGAGGAAGCAGAGATGGGCCATGACAATTTCAGTTAATGCCAATCATCCAGCTTTCAGAGCAGCACAACAATCAATAGGACAGTTTCCATGACACTGGTAGGACAATAGAACAGTACACAGTAGGAAAATTCACAATACACAGTACACAGTAGGACAGTTCATAGTATACAGTAGGACAGTGCACCGTAAGTTCACAGTACATAGTAGGACAGCTCATAGGACACAGTAGGACAGAGCACAGTACACAGTAGGACAGTATACAGTAAGCACACAGCAGGATAGTTCACAGTAGGACAGTTCACAATACATAGTACACAGTAGGACAGTTTAGGACAGTACACAGTATATAGTAGGACAGTACACAGAACACAGTAGGACAATACACAATAGAACAGTTCACAGTACATAGTAGGACAGTTTCCATGACACAACAATCAGTAGGACAGTTTCCAGGACAGCAGGGAGGTTTCTGTGACAATTTCTAGAGGCCTGTTAAATCAATAGACATAGTTATGTCGAAATGGTGAAATATCAAAGGCACAGACAGCATAAGTAATTTCCCCAGAGACACACAGGGAGAATGCAGAGGAGTTAGATGCAAATCTAGGCCTGATTTCAAATTCATTCTTCTGGAACTGATAAATAACTGTATACAAAAAATACTGAATGACAACTGGCAATTCAAAACCTCCATAAAGAGCCAAAGTAGCCTTTAAAAACAAAACAAAACAAATCAGCTTCTATCTTTAATTCAGCAATATTAAATATTAAGAAACATTTTCAAACAATGTATAAGAGAGATTTTTAAAGCATAAATAACAAAGCATTTAAATAATTTGAATTCCCTTACTTTATTTCAGATATCCCAAGGGAGATTGTAGAATCCCCCTCTATGAATCCCCTTCTTAGAAATAAAGAACAAAGTCAGAGATGAGGAGAAAGAGGGGGAAGAATTAGAGGAATCTGGCAATCCATTCGTTTTCACTTTGGCAGTTGGAATTCAAAGTGAGAGAAAGGGTTAAGGATTCTCCTAAAATTATTCTATGTTATAGTGTTATTGCAATAAGTAATAAGAAAAAGAAAGAATAAAAGCCTGCGGATGCATGGAGAATGTTCTATTGTTGTTCACCTATGTCCTAGAATGAGAGGGACTCTAAGATGCTAAGAGGGCAAATAAAATTATTGATTGATTATAAAAAAAAAAAGATAAAACTATCTTCCTGTAATATTTACTTTTTTTTTTTAACATTTAGATATTTAATCTACCTAAATTTATTTTTGTATATTGTGTGAATTAGGATTCTAACTATTTTCTTCTGACCTGGAAAAGCCAGTTGACAGCTAGTATGTGAGGGAGCTGAGTCTTGAACCCAGCCTGTCTGCTGAAGCCACGTTCTTAACCACTGTGTTTGCTACTCCTCTAATTGAGTTAGTATTAAAGGGGTCTTACTGGGGAAAAAAATGTAGGTATACCATTAAATAAGAAAACTTGATCTATTGCTTTTTGTTTTGCAAATAGTATTGACAATGTAGCATTCTCCTACAGGTAGCCTCCATGAATAAATGTTTAAAATAAAGAGGAGTAAGAATGCATAGTTATTAATAGAAGCTACATCACCTCGGTTGTCTTTGTTGTGATACTCTGTCATCTGAGATTTTGCAAAATTCTTTTCACAGATATGCGAGGATTCATGACAGCGCATGGACAGCCAGACCAGCCTCGATCTGCGCGCTATATCCTGAAGGACTATGTCAGTGTAAGCGATCCCTGCCTCTATGCTCTCGAATACCTAAGTCTTTTTCCACATTCTGTGTTCTTAGATAATGGCAACCTGTTGTGTTATAAAGGAAATACTTTTTTCATTGAAACTGGAGCTGTGTTCTTGATCTAGGGTAGTTGACGTTATATGGATTAAAGATGGAGGTCTCTGAACACCTATTACGGGTGAAAATCACCAGTTTATGCATCCGGCTTTTCCATCTCCTATAGCCCTTTGCTTGTTATGATTGCAATCATTGTCACAGTCTTTGTAGTAAAGCTGTTTATATGCCTAGCTCTGTATTTCTCTAGTAATGATATTATTAACATCTAACATTTCTTCGAAGCTGACCCTGCTAGAAATAGTTCTGTTTTACATGTGTCTTCTCAGTAAAAATACGTAACAAGTCTGTAGGATTATTATTTCTCCTATTCAAATGAGAACATGCTATTTGGGGGTTTCCCCGTGGTAAAATGGAGATGAGCTGGGCCTATCTCATGAGATTATTGAGGGGGGCACTAAGCTCAGTGCCTTGCACATAATGAGCCCCCAATAATGGTTATGTATTAAGTTTAATTCTTTCCTCAAGTAAGCATTATAGGGCCCTGTTAATAACCAGTTGTGAGGGTTAGGCTTTGTTTTCTTTTTGAGACAGAGTCTCACTCTGTCACCTAGGCTGGAGTGCAGTGGCATGATCTCGGCTCATGGCAACCTCTGCCTCCAGGGTTCAAGCCACTCTCCTGCCTAAGCCTTCTGAGTAGCTAGGATTACAGGTGTATACCACCACACCCGGCTAATTTTTGTATTTTTAGTAGAAACGGGGTTTCATCATGTTGGTAAGGCTGTTCTCAACTCCTGACCTTGTGATCCACCTGCCTTGGTGTCCCAAAGTGCTGGGATTACAGGTGTGAACCACCACGCCTGGCTGAAGATTTGGTGGTTCTCAAATCCTCAGCCTTCTCAAGACCACATCAGTGGAGCTCTTGGAGCATAGTGGCAACCATATGGGCTTGCCTTCAGTTCAGGAAGAAAGCAGTTAATACTATTGCTATGGATAAGTCATGTATTCATTTACCACTTACCATGGAGGCTGTAAAGATGAGGTAAAAATAGTCACAGCCTTCAGAGCATTTATGATGGAAAGAGGCAGACTTGCACCTAGTGAGTGCCTGCAGCCCCGCATACAGGAGTCTAGGAACTCCCCTGACTTGAATAGTCTGCCCAACATTACCATTAGTCATAACTATTCAGTTGTGTCTTGAGTTTGGTTTTGGAAAATATTCACCATAAGTATAATCATGTCAGTATACTGAAGAATACTTGAGTGGGAATGAAACCAAGGGAAAAGAAGAGAGTTCATCCTAGTCTGGGGGGCATGGGAAGAGCTGGATGTCTCGAACACTTTGACCATTATAGAGAAAGGACTCTTGAGCTGCAGTAAACCAAAACTCAGCTAACTTAACTAGAAGGCAGAAAGTTCCATCAGAGTGTGACTGGGTGGAGATGTCTCCTCTGAGGCCACGGATGGCACTGAGGATGCACTGTTCTCGTTCATGTTGTCTTTGTGTAGGGTAAGCTGCTGTACTGCCATCCTCCTCCTGGAAGAGATCCTGTAACTTTTCAGCATCAACACCAGCAACTCCTAGAGAGCAAAACGAATGGAGATGAAATAAAAATACAGCCAGGCAGAAATAAAAAAGCAAAGCAGATTGAAAATATAGTTGATGAAACCTTTTTCCATCAAGTAAGTTTTAAAGCTTTTCTTAAACCTCTGAGCCAACACTTGATAACAGCTTTATTGAGTATCACATGCCATAAACACATTTCAGTAACCTTAAAAAGGATTTCATAACCCCCAAAAGAAACCTTATTAACAGTTACTCCTTGTTCCCCTTTTCTGACAGCCCCGGCAACCAATAATCAATCTTTATGTGTAGATTTGCCTGTTCTGGACATTCCATGTGAATGGAATCATACTGTGTGCTCTTTGTGACTGGCTTCTTTCAGTTAGCAGAATATCTTTAGTTGATGTTGTTGTTTTGACACAGAGTCTTGCTCTGTCACCCAGGCTGGAGTGCATTGCACCGATCTCGGCTCACTGCAACCTCCGCTTCCCAGTTTCAAGCGATTCTCTTGCCTCAGCCTCCTGAATAGTTGGGATTACAGGCACACGCCACCACGTCCAGCTAATTTTTTTTTTTTTTTTTTTTTTTTGTATTTTTAGTAGAGATGGGGTTTTACCATGTTGGTCAGGCTGGTCTCAAAACTCCTAACCTTGTGATCTGCCTGCCTCAGCCTCCCAAAGTGCTGGGATTACAGGCGTGAGCCATCGTGCCCGACCTTAGCATGACATGTTAAAGATTCATCCATGTTGTAGCATGTATCAGTATTTCATTCCTTTTTATGACCAAATAATATTTCATTGTATAGATGAGCCACATTTTGTTTATCCGTGTATCATTTGATGGGCATTTGGGTTGTTTCCACTTTTTGGCTACTGTGAATAATGGTGTACAAGTTTTTGGGTGGACATGGATGTCCTTTCTCTTGAGTAGATACTGGGGTTGCTGGGTCATATTGTACCTCCATGTTTAACATTAGAGGTGTTGCCAAACTTAGCCCAAAGTAGCTGTGCTGTGTTACATTACCCCCAGTGATGTATGAGGTTTCTCATTTTTCCTCATCCTTGTCAGCATTTATTATTTCCCATCGTTTTTATTGTAGCCATCCTAATACATGTGAGGTAGTACTGCATTATAGTTTTGATGGTTATTTCCCTAATTACTAGTGATGCTGAGCATCTTTTTACGTGCTCTTTGGCACGTGTATATTTTCTTTAGAGAAGCATCTATTATTAAGTTGTAAGAGTTCTTTATGTATTTGGGATACAAGTCCCTTATCAGATTTATGATTTCCAATATTTGCACCCATTTAGTCAGTTGTCTTTTCTCTGAGCCAACACATTTGGTGATAGAAAGTGCTAAAGAACAGACTTCATAAATGTCTTCTGCACTTTAAAATGTTGATAACTTTAGTTGCTGATATCACAGCTACAATTAATTTGTCAGCAGTATTTTAAAGGACAAATCTACAGGCCAAAGAGGTAAATCATATAGTTGTAGCTTAAAGATGTGTTTAAGTGACTGCTATAGCAAAAATGGGACAGGGGTTAGGAGGGGGTGGTCAGCTGTGTCCTGAGAATGCTCTTGTATTTATCTACTGTTTTATCTGGGGCCTCAGACAGTGAGCCTGGAAGTAGGCCCAGCAGATATCACTCCCTGAGGACACTGGGGCTCCAAGAGATTGAGTTGCCCCAGGGTACCTGCTTTAAACTGCATAGTGTAACTTAGAGTGTAACTTAGATATTCGCAGCTCCTACTGTGAATTACTTCCAAGTTGGCACCAGTGTTTGGAAGAAAATTTACCAATATGCAAAAAGATCACAAGTTTCTTCTTGGGCCTACAACCGTCATACAGAACATTTATTTTGAATTTTTAAATGTTTACAGGTTTCTAAAGGCTACATACAGGAAAGCTGAAAACTTGCCATAATTTTAATATAATTCATATGTCTAAACTGTGGCCTCTAGAGTAATATTTTACTATTATAAGTAACTTATAAATCATATTGTAATTTTTTTTTTTACTAAGTAAACTTAAAATTTGTTTAGAGTCCATTTCTAATTTGGTTGAAGCAGGTTAAGTTTTGATATTAAGACAAATGTCCAGAAAACAGCTGGGACTGAGTCTAGTTGTCGATGGCATTTTCAACTATGGGACTAAACAAAGTTGATGAGGGAATGAGGACGGAGAACAGATGACCTGAAGACAGAATGCTGGGGAGAGGAAGAGGACCAGTGAAAGGGATGGATGGAAATTCACTGAGTGATTTACTCCTTCTTATCTTGAAGTGATCCACTAACAGTACTGTGCATATCCCTTAAAGGATAGCCTGCTGACACCTCAGATAATGTTTTCTCTTCGTTCCTAGGAGAATGTGAGAGCTTTGACCAAAGGAGTCCAGGCTGTGATGGGTTACAAGCCCGGGAGCAGGATAGTGACTGCGGCTACTGCGAGCTCTGAGAATGGGGCAGGGAAGCCCTGGAAGAAACATGGCAACAGAAATAAAAAAGAAAAAAGTCGTAGACTCTATAAGCACCTGGACATGTGAAGTTGGGCTATAATGGAAGGTCATCTGCACTGTGCAGATGGGAAAGAGCAGAGGCCGCTGGTTGCCTATGGAACGGTTCCAAGACACTGGCACTGTAGAAGGGGCCTGCTCTTGTGGAACACAGCTGCACCCCACAGTCTTCATGTCAAGACTGAGGGCCTCCTGGAAACACCAGCTCTCACTAGAAGGAGTTATTGGGGAGCCCCAGAAACCTACTCCAGCTGCACCCAGCAGTCTTCATATCAAGACTGAGGGCCTCCTGGAAACACCAACTCTCACTAAAAGGAGTTATTGGGGAGCCCCAGAAACCTCCTGGTAGGCACAGTGGTTCACGCGCCAACATGGTGAAACTCCAGCGAACCTCCATCTCTACTAAAAATACAAGAAAATTAGCGGGGTGTGGTGGCGTGCACCTGTAATCCCAGCTACTCGGGAGGCTGAGGCAGGAGAATCACTTGAACCTGGGAGGCAGAGGTTGCAATGAGCAGATATTGTACCATTGCACTCCAGCCTGGGTTACAGAGTGAGAATCCATCACAAGAAAAAAAAATGGCAAGGGATAGTTCATGAGACACATTTGGGACAAAGGTGAAACAGAAATTCCCCATTCCGAATGCCGTCATTGGGTTCCTCAGATTCTAAACAAGGGACTTGCATTCAATTAGTGGGTAGTGGGGGCTCACTTCCACTGAGGAACGTGTAGAATATATCCACTGGGTGACAGGGAAGCTGCAGCATTTACTAACTAGCCGTCTTCACTGGTTATTCCACTTATTTAAAATATGTCCAGAATAAGCAAATCTCTATATAGAGGAAGTAGATTAGCGGTTGCTTAGGTATAGGAGGGAATGGGAAGATTGAGGCCTGTCTTTTGCAGGATAAAAATGTCCTAAAATTGATTGTAGCGATGGTCATACAACTCTGAATATGCTTAAGACCATTCGTTGGTGAATTACATGGTATGTAAATTATAGTTCAATAACATAGTTACAAAATACAATCAGAAGCATGAAAGCACTACTGATAATGGTTTACATCTGTGTCCTCTCCAAATCTCATGTCGAAATGTAAGCCCCCATGTTGGATGTGGAGCCTGGTGGGGGTGATTGGATTACGGGGGAGAGTCCTCATGAATGGTTTGGCTCCATACCCTCCGTGCTGTTCTTGTGATAGTGAGGTCTCATCACATCTGGTTGCTTCAAAGTGTGTGGCGCTTCCCCTCTTGTCTCCCTCCTGCTCCAGCCATAGAAGATGTGCCTGCTTCTCCTTAGCCTCTGCCATGATTGTAAGTTTCCTGAGGCCTCCCTAGAAGCAAAAACTGCTGTGCTTCCTGTACAGTCTGCAGGACTGTGAGCCGATTTAACCTCTTTTCTTTATAAATTCTGTCTCAGGTATTATTTATGTTTCTTTTTTTGTGAGTCAGAGTCTTACTCTGTTGCCCAGGCTGGAGTGCAGTGGCACAATCTTGGCTCACTGCGACCTCCCTCTCCCGGATTCAAGCAACACGTCCTTCCCAGAAGAGAAAGCTGTTGAACTCCTGGCCTGTCTCCCCACACCATTGGCTGCCCTTGCCCAGGCTGCTGTCCTTCAGAAGGACGGTGCCTGAGGTCCTGCCGCCCCTGCCAACAGGAAATGCCTCTGAGCAGTCACATCACTGCCCACCGTCCAGAAGGACAAGTGCTCCGGTCCGCTTGTTAGTTTTTCTTTTCGGCTAGCTCTGAACCGTAGCCAAAAATGTAATCTTTAGCTCCTGGGCAGCCCTCTGAGGAGCCTGGTTAAGGAACTGATTCATTTCCTGAGGGCTGACCACGTGCAGAACCCTGTGGAAAGTACAGGGAGAGCCTGGGTGGGGTTCTAATGGCCTCTGCAGAGCTGCTGCCATGGCCTTGTTGCCAAAATCAAACATAAAAAGGCCCAGTTCATGCGTTATTTCTTGAAAACCTTCCCTCACACCCCCGCTCACAATGCTGGGTGTCACCAATGTACTTTAAACATGTCCCTGCTGTAGTACATGTCACATTTTTATGGCCTGTTTAAAAATCAGGGTATTTGGCCAGGAAGAGTGGCTCTTGCTTATAATCCCAGCACTGGGAGCCTGAGGCGGGTGGATCATTTGAGATCAGGAGTTCAAGACTGGCCTTGCTAACATGGTGAAACCCCACCTCTACTAAAAATACAAAAATTAGCTGGGTGTGGTAGTGTGCTCCTATAATCCCAGGAAGTGGAGGTCGCAGTGAGCCAAGATCGCGCCATTGCACTCCAGCCTGGGTAACAGAGCTAGACAGTGTCAAAAATAAAAGGCCAGGCACGGTGGCTCACACCTGTAATCCCAGCACTTTGGGAGGCCAACGTGGGTGGATCATAAGGTCAGAAGATTGAGACTATCCTGGCCAATATGGTGAAACCCCATCTCAATTAAAAACACAAACATGAGCTAGGCGTGGTGGTGCATGCCTGTAATCCCAGCTACTTGGGAGGCTGAGGCAGGAGAATCACTTGAACTCAGGAGATAGAGGCTGCAGTGAGCCGAGATCATGCCACTGCACTCCAGCCTGGCAACAGAGCAAGACTCCATCTCAAAAAAAAAAAAAAAAATCAGTGCATTCATTCAGCAAATATTTCCTTATTATGTGTCAGGCACTGAGCTAGGGGCTGAAGATGCAAGTATAAATTAAACAACCCTGGCTGCATGCAGCTCACAGCCTGGTAGAAAAACAACACTCCTCACCCTTTCAGAGCTGTCAATAGAGCAGGGCAGGCACAAGGGCTTGGGCCCCCACAGGACCAGGACACCGAGTCAGCTGAAGTAAGGATGGTTGTGGTGGAGGAGCTTGGTGAGGGAGAACTGGGAGTTTGGTTTTAGACATGTGCAATTAGACATGCAGGTGGAGATGTCAGGTAGGCAGTTGTATATGTGAGTCTAAAGTATGAGAAGGAGGTGACTTGGAGCTATGCATTCAGGAGGTGCAGGTGCAGGGACGGAAGTTAAAGCCAGACACCCGATGAGATCCCCAGCAGAGGATAGGTAGGGATGAGAACCAAGAATTGGGCCGGGTGCGGTGGCTCACGCCTGTTATCCCAGCACTTTGGGAGGCCAAGGCGGGCAAATCAACTGAGGTCAGGAGTTCGAGACCAACCTGACCGACATGGAGAAACCCTATGTCTACTAAAAATACAAAAATTGGCCAGGCGTGGCGGTGCATGCCTGTAATCCCAGCTACTCAGGAGGCTGAGGCAGGAGAATCACCTGAACCCAGGAGTCAGAGGTTGCAGCAAGTCGAGATGGTGCCATTGCACTCCAGTCTGGGCAACAAGAGCAAGACTCCATCTCAAAAAAAAAACAAAAACAGAACTGAGCCATTATGTCTCCCCATGATTAGCTGACCTCCTTCCTTTTATAGAAAGAAACACACAGTGCAAGGAAGCTCAGTGCTTTGCCCCAAGTCCCAGTACAACTGCTGCACCGTGGAGGGAAAATTCCAGTGTAAGATCAGCAGGCTCCAGAGCTCACACTCTTCCCATTGCTTCTTTCTTTTTATTATTTTTTTGAGATGGAGTCTCTGTTGCCCAGGCTAGAGTGCAATGGCATGATCTCAGCTCACTGTAAACTACACCTCCCAGGCTCAAGCGATTCTCCTCCCTCAGCCTCCCAAGTTGCTGGGATTACAGGTGTACGCTACCACACCCAGCTATTTTTTGTTTTTTTAGTAGAGACAGGGTTTCACCATGTTGGCCAGGCGATCTCAAACTCCTGATCTCAAACTGTGAAGGAATCAACCAAAGTTGTGCCAATTTATTACAGCAACTACTGGAGACGAATCTATGCTGAATCCAAGGACATGTGCCCAGGGAGCTGGACTTATGTTATATGTAAATTTTCGGTGCCACAAAGAAAAGTCAGCACTGGGACAAAGGATCTCTCAGCAAGGCAATCTTTACTTCCTGCAGAAAGGGTACTTTCACCAGCAGTCTAGATTGTGTTCAGTTTTAGATTGTGAGGTCTGGCTCCAACCAACGGAGATCAGACACAGCACTAGGATGATCCCAAATACGTAAAAGATAAATATGTCTGCTTTCCCTTTGTTCATTGTACTCTCACTGCAAGATGGCTAACAGGAGCACCCTTTCTGCAGGAAGTCAATTGTCTTGCAGTGAGTTGTGATACCAGCAATCTATGGACCACACTGCCCCAACTCCTCAGCCAGGGGACTTGAAGCAAAGGACTCAAACCCTTGAACTAGGGGTTTTTAGACTGGGATCCTGGGGAATCCACTGGGGAATCCATAGTTGAATTTCAGGGTGCGGAGGGTGGTTCATAAATTTTTAAAAACTGTATGAGAAACTGTGTGTGGTGTGCACACACATTCCTATTTTTCAAAGACGAGATTTTTTTCTTTTTCAGATTCTCAAAGAGGTCACAAAAAAGGGTTAAGAACTAACCACTAACCATTAACCACTAATTTAAGAACAAAGTGCTGAGGTGTGTAAATCCAGCCCAGAGTGAGTGGGGAGGAATAAAGCACCTTTTAAATCAGGCCCAGCTCTGAGAGTTCATGCTGAGCCTGAGTGGGAGGCAAGCCATCTTAAGGTGAATCAAATTAAGAGTGGTATCTTCAAATCTCTACAAACTCACAGCTCAGGGAGCTCTGCCCTAGGGCCTGGTGAGAGGGTGATACAAGACTGGGTGGGGCATTTCCCTACTTTAGCAGGATAGTGAGTGAATTATCTTTTGAGAACAGCAGATGGACAATATCCCCAGGGGAGTGAGGATTTAGGCAATCACAGGTTAGTATCTGAGGGAGGTAAAGGCAGAGGTGACCACTGATGAGCACACAGGACACACACCAGAAGCTCCAGGAACAGACGGCAGGGATTTCAGATGGGGGGGATGTCCTCCCACAATGTGGGAAGTGGCTCAGCTAGAAAGACCCTGTGGGTACTATTTATAGACTATGAGAAAGTTGGGCTATGTATTTTTTTTCTTTTAACGCTTGAATCACTCCATTCTTCATCTTGTTTTATTATTTTAATTTTGGCCCTTTTTGGTAAAAAGCATATTTTAATTGTACCTTTTTGTTCAGTTGCTAGCTTAATTTTTTTCTTCCTTTCCCTTTTTTTTTTTTTTTTTGACAGGGTCTTACTCTATTGCCCAGGCTGGAGTGCAGTGGTGCAATCTCAACTCATTGCAGCCTCTGCCTCCAGGGCTCAAATAATCCTCTCATCTCACCCTCCCAAGTAGCTAGGACTACAGATGCATGCCACAATGCCAGGCTGATTTTTTGTAGAGATGGGGTTTCACCATGTTACTTAGGCTGACCTGAAACTCCAGAGCTTAAGTGATCCACTCGCCTCAGCCCTCCACCCCCCAAATTGCTGGGATTACAGGCATGAGCCACAGTGCCCCACCAGTTGCTTGCTTAATTTCTCTCTCTCCTACTGGACTGTAAGCTCCATGAAGGTAGGACCCATGTCCGTTTCACTCAATAGTGTCCCCAGCTCCTAACACAATGCCTGTCTTAGTCCATCTGAGCTGCTATAACAAAATACTTTGCACTGAGTGGCGTGTAAATAACACAGATTTGTTTTTCACAGTTCTGGAAGCTAGGAAGTCCAAGATCAAGATGTCTGCAGATTTGGTGGAAGCGCCTGCTTTCTGGTTCTTGCTGTGTCTCCACCCTCATAACCTAATCACCATTAAAAGGCTCCACCTCCTAATACAGTTTGGTGTAAAAGTACATTTATTCATTTATTTAGAGACAGAGTCTTGCTGCGTTGCCCAGGGTGGAATGTATCGGTGCGATCTCGCCTCACTGCAACCTCCACCTCCCGGGTTCAAGCAATTCTGCCTCAGCCTCCGGAGTAGCTTGGATTGGCGCCCGCCACCATGCCTGGCTAATTTTTGTATTTTTTTTAGTAGAGACGGGGTTTCACCACGTTGGCCAGCCTGGTCTTGAACTCCTGACCTCGTGATCCGCCCGCCTCAGCTTCCCAAAGTGCTGGGATTACCGGTGTAAGCCTCTGCGCCCGGCCAAAATTGTACATTTTAAAAGCACTAAGTTTACTGCATATAAATAATATCTCCATAAAGCTGTATTTTTTTAATTAAATGATTTTTTTTCAATCCATCTGTAGAAATAATTTTTTCAAGTCATGTCTTGTTTTAAGCAAACTTACTAAAATCAATAAGGAGATTTAAAAATTACATTAATAGTTTGCTCTCAAGAAAAACAGCCCTGTGTACTTGAACCGTGAGCCATGCGGCTGGACAGGAGGCGGCTGGTTCCACAGATAAGCAGTTCCTTGGCTGCCGGGGCTGTGGTCTAGGATGACATCCCGAAGCCAGGCTTGGGCGACTGCCTGGGGGCGGACGGTGCCGGGGACAGCTCCAGAAAGGAGAGTGAGAGGCGGATGTGGGGGTATTTGTTCTCCGGCATGTTAGTTCCCTCCTAACTGGCCTTGCACCCCACCCTTTTTATTGCACCGTGTCCGGTATCAGGACCAGGCCCCATTCACCTTGGGATCCCAGCACCCAGGCGCTTCAGCAGCGCAACTAATTGCATTGTTGGCTCGGGAAAGGTGCCGAATGCCGGAAGGGACGCGGTGCCTTAACAGTGGCCAGCAGGGACCCGGTCCTCCCCGAGCCCAGCCGCCTGCCCTGCTCGGGTCAGGATGTTGGAGGTGCCTGACCGCTAAGAGGCCCGCGGGGAGCTGGCGCCCGCGGCGGCTGCAGTCTTTGTGCCCGAGCAGCTCCCGGCTCCCACCGCTGGGGGGCGGCCTCCTCCCCGCCGACCCCCGACAATAGCGCGAGGGGTGGGGAGCGCGCGGTCCCGGAAACTTTTCCCCGGCGCCTTAGCAGCCGCCGCCTGCGTCCGGGAGCGCGCCCTTCTCTGCCCGCGGTCTGTGCGCTCGGCCGGGACCGCTGCGGCAGAACGGAACCCAGAGAACGGGGCTCGGGGCGCCGGCGCTCGCGGCTGCCTGCGGCGGGGGAGGCTGCGCCCAGGTCCCCAGCCCCGCAGAGCGCGCCCAGACGCGCCATGGGGGAGGCGCCCAGCCCCGCGCCGGCGCTCTGGGATTGGGACTACCTGGACCGCTGTTTCGCCCGCCACCGCGTCTGCATCTCCTTCGGCCTGTGGATCTGCGCCTCCTCCTGCTGGATCGCCGCCCACACGCTGTAATGGGGCCCTGGGTCGGGGGGCTGCCGGGCGGGGAAAGAAGCGCCACGCCCCTGCTACTCCCTCTTGGAAACCTAGAGGAGAAGGCGGAAAGGGGGGCTCAGTAACAGGATCAAATAGAATATTGCTCCGTAGACTGAAGTGGGGTACTTCTTTCCAGATCCTACGCACAGGGAAGCTGGGCTGTGAGCCACAAAGAGGAGGCTGGGTGGTGCAGCCGATGGGGCCCCAGTACAACACGAGCCCTGGTGCTATTGTCAGCCCTTGCCCCATTGACTCGTGGTATGACTGACTCGTGGTATGACCTTCGCAAGCTCTGGGCCTCCTGTGACTGGGGATAATACCTCATAGGATGATGGGAGGATTAAATGATTCAGTACGGGTAAAGCGCTTAGTAAGTGCTCATTAAACATCATTTGTATTGCTCCAGCTAAGCCACCAACTCTTGGCAAGTCCCTTGATGTTTCTGGCCTCCATTTACCCAAAGTCCTCTTAGATAGGAAGGGGAGTGACGATCCAACTGGCCTGTCTTTTCCCTGGTCTGTCCAGCACCTGGACTGGTTTTGCCAGAGGCTCACCATAGCCTAAGTTCTAAGAGTGAATCTCCAGGTCCTCAGCCGCCCTGTCCTAGGCTTGGAAATCCACTAGCATTGTCCAGGATTCCCTGGCAGGGGAGAAAGGACCAGCACCCCTGGGAGAGGTTACAGCTGTCTCCCCGTAGGTGCTCAGTGGTTATTCTCCTAAGGCATGTGGTCGTATTGCAGAGATTCTGCAGCCCCACTACCCAGTGACTGGAATACAAATGAAAAGAAGCCTAGAACATTTACTATGGGCCCAGCGTTGCATTCATTTAACTCATTCAGTGCCTGCCACTCACAATATCAGCACCAGGAGGTAGGTCCTGTCACCCCCACTTTCGGTAACGAACCCTGAGGTTCTGAGAGTTTAACTTGTCTGAGTGAAACGAAAGCACCAAAACCCCAGCTCCTACTGAAAAGGGGCAGGCTGGTAAAAGAGGTTAAACTGTCCAGATCAGAGGCTGGAAACTAACAAGGCACTGGACACCCAGTATCCATTTGTTCCTCACAGAGTCCTCAGACCAGCACTGTTAGGCACTTTCCACCCTTGGAGGGGTTAAGAGCAAGCCTCTGCTTCTCACCCTGCTTGGGATCTGGACATAACTCATTTGTTGTCAGGGCCTTGCCATCCCTGAACGTCTCCCGTCCTCTTCTCTTTGGAGGACGTGTCTTCGGAGTGGTGTGTGGGGTGGGTTAAGGTCAGCTGGAACCCCGGCCCCAAGAGCTGGGGAAGTGGCTGAGAACAGGGTGCAGAGCAAAGCCCCTGCATGTGAAGAAGGGGCTTTGAAGACCACCACTAACTCACCTTCTCACCAGAGGCCTCACTTTTCTCCTCTCAAATGGGAGGGTTGATATAAATTATTTCTAATTTGGTTCCGCCTCTGGGAGTCTCCAATTTAAGAATTTTCACTCCTGGCTGGGCGCAGTGGCTCACGCCTGTAATCCCAGCACTTTGGGAGGCGGAGGCAGGTGGATCATCTAAAGTCACGAGTTCAAGACCAGCCTGGCCAACATAGTGAAACCCTGTCTCTACTAAAAATATGAAAAATTAGCTAGGCATGGTGACAGGCACCTGTAATCCCAGCTACTCCGGAGGCTGAGGCAGGAGAATCAGTTGAACCCGGGAGGCGGAGGTTGCAGTGAGCCGAGATTGTGCCATTGCACAGCATAGGCAACAAGAGCAAAACTCCGTCTCAAAAAAAAAAAAAAAGGATCTTCACTCCTTGGCCTTGAATTGGTTTTAGGAGCTCAGGACCCAGATTAAAGTTGATGTTGCCACTGTGAGTTTCAGATTTGGGCCAGCAGGTCAAGAACTGTTTAGAAGCTGGGGCGCGGTGACTCATGCTTGTAATCCCAGCACTTTGGGAGGCCTAGGTGGGAGGGTCACCTGAGGTTGAGAGTTCGAGACCAGCCTGAGCAACATGGAGAAACCCCATTTCTACTAAAAATACAAAATTAGCCAGGCGTGGTGGCACATGCCTATAATCCCAGCTACTAGGGAGGCTAAAGCAGGAGAATCGCTTGAACCTGGGAGGCGGAGGTTGCGGTGAGCCAAGATCATGCCACTGCACTCCAGCCTGGGCGACAAGAGTGAAACTCTGCCTCAAAAAAAAAGATAAAAGAAAAGAAAAGAAATATTTAGAAAGCCAAAGCCTTCTGTCATCCACCATTCCCAAGGACAGGCACTCAGAATCAGCCACGTTGTTCGAAGGATGTGGAATGAGTGCCGCCCTCTGGTTAACAGAAATGAAACCAGAGCTGCAGTCATGCCTCAGTGTCTCCAGAGAAATGTAGCAAAGAGGCACGTACAACAATGCATTTCTGAGACCCTGTCAGTGATGCTGATAGAAACCTCCGGCCTCTTCCAGCCCGTTCTGCCCTGCCCTTCTGTGCATATTCTCTGGTGGATATGGGCTGGAGAGGGGCCATAAGGAGAGAATGAACAGGGGAAGGTTCTAAGGAAAGGTCAGCACAAAGTGCCAAAAAGGCTCTCCCTGTAAAGAACATGCTCGTTGTGGACACAGGCCGGCAGAAGCCAGGCTGCCCCACTTCCCAGGTGGTTTAGAAGAATTTCACTTTAATTTATTTAGGAGAAACAAGTTTCTTTTTAATTTAGGCAGTTAACTCTGCTCTGCAGTTATCTGTAGTGGTTGGGTTGCTTCCCCCCCCCCCCGCCCCGAGATGGAATCTCACTCTGTCGCCCAGGCTGGAATGCAATGGCATGATCTCGGCTCACTGCAACCTCTGCCTCCTGGGTTCAAGCACTTCTTCTGGCTTAGATTCCCGAGTAGCTGGGATTACAGGCACTCGCCACCACACTCGGGTAATTTTTGTATTTTTAGTAGAAACAGGATTTCATCATGTTGGCCTGGCTGGTCTTGAACACCTGACTGCAGGCAATCAAAGTGTTGGGACGTGGCCTCCCAAAAGTGCTGGGATTATAGGCGTGAGCCATCCCACTTGGCCTGGGTTACTTTTATAGCCCTCCTGTTTCCCTTTCAAAAAATAAAACCTGATGGCCACATTTTTAGTGCTAAGTGGGGAGTCATCAAATGGAGCCAGCCTGATTTGGAGTCTGAACGTAATTCCTCTTCACTAAAGGAGGCGGTGTCTTCACATCTCATGAGGTCTAGCTCCTGTCACAGGCATCTGGACAGGCGGCTCGGGAGTCTTCTGATTGTTTCCCGTCCGGAAACTAAGTTCAAAAACACCCCCTAAAAACCTCAGGGACACATGAAGATGCCCTTTACAGATGCACGAGTTTGGGTCCCAACTCATGGGTCCTGTGTTCTGTCAACACCCCTGTCACCCCAGGCTTCTCTATCTGAGATGTACAAAGAAATCCAGACAGGACCAGTCGCCACTGTGTGCTGCGTGCTGCCTCCTGACCAGTCTGTGCGACACTGTGGGGGCTATTCTGGCCAGACAGCTCACAATTCAGGTATGTTGGGCCTACAGCTGACGGTGGCTTAGGCCAGCAGAGGCCTGACCTCTCTCTCTGCTGCAGCCATGTGGCTTCTGTCTTGTTGCTTCAACGTGCATAGCACAATGTCGCCTCAGAATCTGTGCCTTTGCTGTTTTTTCTGCACCCCTCCGAGGCTCTTGTTCCCGATATCTGCTTGGCTCCCTGCTTAGTCCTTCAGGTCTTTGCTCAAAAGTTACCTCTTGGTCAGTTGCAATGGCTCAGGCCTGTAATCCCAGCACTTTGGGAGGCTGAGGTGGGTGGATCACTTGAGGTGGGGAGTGGAGACCCTGTGTCTACTAAAAACAAAATTAGCCGGGCGTGGTGCATGCCTGTAATCCCAGCTACTTGGAAGGCTGAGGCAAGGAGAATCACTTGAACCTGGGAGGCAGAGGTTGCAGTTAGCCAAGATCACGGTATTGCACTCCAGCATGGGTGACAGAGCAAGACGCTGTCTCAAAAAAACAAGCAAAAAAAAGTCACCTTCTCAATAAGAACTCCCCTGCTTATAATGGTGACCCACCTCTTCCACCAGTGTTCTGGATTCCATTATTCTAATCTATTTTTATCTATAGCTTAATCCCTAATGCACCATATACTTTACTTATGTGTACTCCTTTTTTTTTGGAGATAGAGTCTCGCTCTGTCACCCAGGCTGGAGTGCAGTGACATGATCTTGGCTCACTGCAACCTCTGCCTCCTGGGTTCAAGCAGTTCTCCTGTCTCAGCCTCCTGAGTAGCTGGGATTACAGGTGCATACCACAACACCCACCTAATTTTTTTTAAGCCTTCTGCAGCTTGTAACCCAGCTAATTTTTGTATTTTTAGTGGAGACAGGGTTTTGCCATGTTGCCCAGGCTGGTCTTGAACTCCTGAGCTCAGGACAATCTGCCCGCCTTGGCCTCCCAATGTGCTAGGATTTATAGGTGAGCTGCCAAGCCTCACCTGTTTATTACTTCTTGTATGTGAACTCCCATTAGAATGTCACCTCTACAAAGGCAAGGATTTGTTCACTGCTGTATCCTTATCACTTTAAACAGCACCCGGCACCTAGTAGGTGCTTAATAAATAGTTATTTAGAGCTTTGACTCAGCCCCAGCTCATGTAGGGGTGGCTGAGTCTTTTCCCAGGTGGTGATGTAGGCTTTGGGGCAAGGGAAAAGTAGCTTCAAGTTTCCCAAAAGCCTAGGCCCTCAGACAGACCTGTGTAGAAGGGTCCTATCCCAAAACACGTATCCCCAGGAAATCCTGTTGTGCCCACTGTGGAAGCGCCTCCCGGGACAGTTCTTGGCCTTATGCCCATCCAGGTAGAAATGAAGGAAGGCAGCCTAGAGGGCAGGGCACAGATTTGGAGCCTTCTAGACCCTGCTTCAAGCAGCGTTGTCTCAAAAGCAAATCACCTTTCATTTTGGGTGCCCATTCTCATTAGCTAATAGAATACAATAGGGCCGGCTGGGTGAGGTGGTTCATGCCTGTAATCCTAGCACTTTGGGAGACTGAGGCGGGCACACTGCCTGAGGCCGGGTGAGACCAGCCTGAGGCATGCAGACCAGCCTGCGTGGTGGTACATGCCTATAATCCCAGCTACTTGGGAGCCAGAGGCAGGAGAATCACTTGAATCTGGGAGGCGGAGGCTGCGGTGAGCCGAGATGGTGCCATTGCACTCCAGTAAAGATACTTGAATGCCAAGACTCTCTTCCCATTTGCTCCCAGGTCTTCACGGGTGCCTACCTCGCAGCTATTGATTTAGTGAACTTCATGTTCACCCTCTTCCCAGTCTGTGGATCCAGATTCAAGCCTAATGCAGGTGAGTACGTGGCTGTCTGTTCCTGTCTCTATTCACCCATTCATTCTTCAGCACACCGAACGCCTACTCCTTAGGACTCTATGAGTGGGTGCCAGCCAGACACAGAGAAAGGAGAGGGTCTCATTAGGGCCACCAGCTTGGAGGTGTGTGCACACTGTGGACAGCCAGAGGGAGGGAAGGGCTGCTGGTGTCAAGGAAATTCAGGGCACTAGGGCTGGGACCACAGGCCGGGCATTCGGGCACACAGAGCAGCATGGGCAAAGGCTAGGAGGAGGGTGGAGTAGGGCATGGGGATGAATAGTGATATCTCAGCGTGCAAGTTCGGGGTGGCCAGGTCAGGCTTCACAACTGCTGGATGTGGATGCCAGGAACAGGCACGGGGCAACACAGGCAGGGGTTGGAAATGATGGGGCAGGATGAGTGGCCCTGAGCATCTACAGCTGGGGCTTCTTGAGAAGGGTCAGTAGTGTGCTTGGACCCTTGTTTAAAAAGAAGGGATGAGGGGCCGGGCGCAGTGCCTCATGCCTGTAATCTCAGCACTTTGCCAGGCAAAGGGAGGTCGGGAGTTTGAGACCAGCTTGGCCAACATGGTAAAAACCCATTTCTACTAAAAAAAAAAAAACAAAAATTAACTGGACGTGGTGGCATGCAGCTGTAATCCCAGCTACTTGGGAGGCTGAGCCAGGAGAATCACTTAAACCTGGGAACTGGAGGTTGCAGTGAGCCAAGGTAGCACCACTGTAGTCCAGCATGGGCAACAAGAGTGAACTCCATCTCAAAAAAAATAATAAAAGAACAAAAGGGATGAACTGCATGTGGTGGCTCATCCCTGTAATCCCAGCACTTTGGGAGGCTGAGGTGGGAAGATTGCTTGACACCAAGAGTTTGAGACCAGCCTGGGTAACATAGGAAGACCCTAGCTCTGCAAACATTTTAGAAAGTAGCTGGGCATGGTGGTGCATGCCTGTGGTCCCAGCTGGGGAGACTGATTTGGGAGGATCACTTGAACCCTGGAGGTGGAGCCTGCAGTGAGCTGTGATTGTGCCGGTGCACTCCAGCCTGGGCAGCAGAGCGAGACCCTGTCTCAAAAATAAACAAATACATTAGAGGGACTGCTGCTGCCTCAGTGTGTAGTGTAGCATGCCCTCAGCTGTCAGTGCTGCCCACTGAGTATTTTTAGAGTTTCTCAGGAGAGAGCTGGGCAGTGGTTTATACCTAGAATCCCCGCCACTCATGAGGCTGAGGTGGGAGATTGCTTGAGCCTAGGAGTTCAAGTCCAGCCTGGTAGAGTGAGATCTCACCTCAACAAGAAAAAAACAAGTAAAATTGCTCAGAGGAGTGTCTATCTTATATTTCAAGGAGATTTTCAGACACCACTCATGGCCGGGCACGGTGGCTCACGCCTGTAATCCCAGCACTTTGGGAGGCTGAGATGGGCAGATCACGAGGTCAGGAGTTCCAGACCAGCCTGGCCAACATGGTGAAACCCCATCTCTACTAAAACTACAAAAAATTAGGCAGGCATGGTGTCAGGCACCTGTAATCTCAGCTACTCGGGAGGCTGAGGCAGCAAAATCACTTCAAACCAGGAGGCAGAGGTTGCAGTGAGCAGAGATCATGCCATTGCACTCCAGCCCGGGCAACAGTGCGGGCCTCCTCAAACAACGACAACAACAAAGAAACAAAGGCCCCGCTCACTGCTGTTTGTCCCATTCGCAGCTCCTGCTGGTGCCATCACCGATTCGCTGGTTGATGCTCTCACCACGCTTGACCTTATACCAGTTCTGCTCTGCAGAGACTGTAGAAACCACCAGGGGATGGTGCCTTATCCCTGGGAGCGCTAGTCCCAGTGAGGCACTGCTGTCTGCATGCAGATCCATACAATAGAAGATAATGTCCTCTCTCATCTCCGCCTAAGGAAGGAGAACAACACCAGTTATGGGAGCAGGGGTGTGCCCCAGTGGTGGAGAGGAAAGGCTCCTTGAGGAGGTGGCTCAGTTACAGGGCCCCGAAGGGTGGGGAGGAGCTGGCCTGCAGAATAACGTGGGACCCCGTTTTGGCGTCATGTGGGGAGTTGACACCAGTTCTTCCCAAGCAGCTATCTGACAAGTTCTAGGTCCCAGGAGCCACGTGGGGTTTTGGTGTCTGTTGCAGATTGGGAAGCCCGAGAGAGGAAGAGGAGGCGGCGGCTTGGGGCGGGCGTGTTTGCCCTGGCCCTGCCACTGAGCCTGGGTCCGTGCTGGGCTCTCTGGGTTGCTGTCCCAAAGGATTCAGCCACCATCCGGGGGCCGCAGCGGAAGCTGCTGGCGAACCTGCTGCAGGTGAGGCTGAGCCATTTTGGGGAGGACTCGGGGTACTGTATGTCCTGCCAAATGCCCAGGGTGGGATGAGACGGGAGCCGGGGCAGTAGGGTTAAGCCTTCCATTGTTGGAGGAAACCTGAAAGCAGGAAAGGACTCCTGAGCTTTGGCTGTCTCTTGGGGCGCATGGGCAGACTGCACTGTGTGCTGACGGCGGATCACCTGTTCTTGCAGGAAAACCCTGAGATCCTCGGCTACCTGCTGGGTGGCATTGCTGCCTTCGGCTCCTGGGCTTCTCGGATCCCCCCTCTCTCCAGAATTGTGAGGCTGGGGGTGGGCCTGGGACTGTGGGTCACATGGCAGGTCTCAGGGCATCTGGGAGCATCCCGAGAGGGCCAGGTCATGGGGCGGAGGGGGTGTGGCATCACTGTGGGGGCATGACGTGGACTCAAATTTTTCTCAAGAGCATTAGTGTGTATGACAGCAAGTGGGGGTGTGTGTGGAGAGTGGGCAGCCAACCCGGGCCTTCTGAGGACTACGGGAGCCTCTCGGGGAAAGCCCAGGTGTACTTTCCCATTTCCTGTAGCAAATGAAAAGCAAGCTCTGAGGGAAAAGCCCCTACACTGGATAAACCCAGGAGAGAATGAAATTTGAGAGACTACAGGAGTCAGCTGTGAGGTTCTGTGTAGATCAAGAGTGTCTTACTGGCAGGCATTCTCCAGGCATCTGGGTGAGGGAGGCCCTGTATTGACCAGTCCTTGGGGGGTAAGATGTGAGCAGGGCTGAGTGCTCACCCTCCGGAGCTCACAGTCTCATGGAAGACGTAGGAATGTGAAGCAGCATCTCCCAATGCTTGAAGAAAGATAGGAACGAGTGTTTGGGGCCGTGCGTGGTGGCTCACACTTGTAATCCCAGCACTTTGGGAGACTGAGGCAGGTGGATCACGAGGTCAGGAGTTCGAGACCAATCTGGCCAACACAGTGAAACTCCATCTTTACTAAAAATACAAAAATTAGCTGGACGTGGCGGCAGGCACCTGTAATCCCAGCTACTGAGGAGACTGAGGCAGGAGAATCGCTTGAACCCAGGAGGCGGAGGTTGCAGTGAGCCGAGATTGTGCCACTGCACTCCAGCCTGGGCGACAGAGCTAGACTCCATCTCAAAAAAAGAAAAGAAAATAATAAACAAGCATTTGGGGTTTCAGAGGAGAGAGAAGCCTCCTACACTCTTCAAATGAGCAAGAGTGAAAACTGTTTACGCTGCCAGGCGGTGGGGTAGTGGGGAGGTGTCATGTTGGCTCAGAAGGGAATGTGAATTTGAGGACACAGGCTAGGGAAAAGCCATCGACAGAGCACACAGGAAAAGCCCCCATGCGTGAAAGCACCTGAGAAACAGCAAGACTGTGGATGTGTGACAGCTGCTCTGCCAAGTTTCCTGTGCAGATGACTCTGAGACAACTGCTCCTGTCTCACTGATTGAACAGTGGCCAAATCCAGCCCCGTGGCATGCCATAGGCCCATTTCATCTAAAAAGAATCAGCCGGGTGCGGTGGCTCCTGCCTGTAATCCCAGCACTTTGGGAGACCGAGGCAGGTGGATCATTTGAGGTCAGGAGTTCAAGATCAGCCTGGCCAACATGGCAAAACCCTCATCTCTACTAAAAATACAAAAATTATTCAGGCATGGTGGCGGGTGCCTGTAATCCCAGCTACTCGGGAGGCTGAGGCAGGTGAATCATTGGAACCTGGGAGGTCGTGGTTGCAGTGAGCTGAGATTGTGCCACTGCACTCCAGCCCAGGTGACAGAGCAATAATCCATCTCAGAAAAAAAAAAAAAATTACTTGCCCAAGAGCGTCCTGATTAGCATTTGGGGATGGAGCGTTGTTAGTGGTTGTTTGCGAAGTCAGTGAAGCTGAAGTCTGTGCTGTGACTGCTGCATGGGTCTCATCAGTGGTGTCCTGTCTTTAGATTAATGGAGGGGAGAGTGGTGACCATCTGGTGGTCAGCAGCCCACCAGTGTGGCTCTCCAGGGTGGTGTCAGAGCTGGGAGGCCACTGGCATCAAGACCTGTGAAGGAGCTGACACAGTGCCCTGACCCCGATAGTAATTCCCTAGGGCTGTTGTAACAAAGTGTCGCTAACTCTGAACAACAGAAGTTGATCATCTCAGTGCCAGAAGTCAGAAGTCTGAGATGAAGGTGCCGGCGGGGCCGTGCTCCCTCTGCAGGCTAGGGAAGGATCTGTTCCAGGCCTCACTCCTCTCCACGGTTCAGGTAGCTCCTTGGCTTGTGGTAACTTCAGTTTCACGTGGCCTTCCCTCTGTACCTTTCTGTGTCCGACTTCCTCCTTTTTGTGAGGACATTGGACTAGGACCCACCCTAATGACCTCATCTTAACCGGATCATCCACAAAGACCAAAGACCCTATTTCCAAATAAGGTCACATTCACAGGTACTTGGGGTTGGGACTTCCACATCTTTTTTTTTTTTTTTTTTTTTGAGATGGAGTCTCATCTGTCACCCAGGCTGAAGTACAGTGGCATGATCTCGGCTCACTGCAACTTCTGCCTCCCAGGTTCAAGCGATTCTACTGCCTCAGCTGCCAGAGTAGCTGGAATTACAGGCATGTGCCACCACACCTGGCTAGTTTTTGTATTTTTAGTAGAGATGGGGTTTCACCATGTTTGGCCAGGTTTGGTCTCAAACTCCTGACCTCAAGTAATCTACCTGCCTCAGCCTCCCAAAGTGCTGGGCTCACAAGTGTGAGCCACCGCGTCCAGCCTAGGAACTTCAACATCTTTTGGGGAGCACATATTGCAACCCATAACATCACTCCACCTAAAACAGCCCCAGGCAAGCCCCAGCACTGTATTTTCTTCAGAGCATTTGGAACTACCTGAAAGGTGCCCCTTATTTCCCGGTTCTGCCTGGTCCGGCAGTGGAATGTTAGCACCTTGCGGGTGGTAGCCTTGTCTGTGTCGTTTCTCATTGCCCTGCAGGCACCTGGGGCCTGATCATGGTAGGGGTCAGCAAACACTGAGAGAGCCATTTCATCTGGCCTGGAAAAAAAGGAAGCTGATGGGTGCGTGAATCAGAGGGCTGTGTGGCGGCAGAAAGAGCAGCCTTGTTCTCTTAAGTCTCAGAGAACAGAACCAAGACAGGGAAGAGGTTGGGGATGGGCCTTTTCCTGTTTTTGTTTTGTTGTTTTTGACTTTGTTTTTGAAATGGAGTCTTGCTCTGTCACCCAGGCTGGAGTGCGGTGGTGTGATCTTGGCTCACTGCAAACTTCGTCTCCCGGGTTCAAGCAATTCTCCTGCCTCAGCCTCCCGAGTAGCTGGGACTACAGGCACCCACCACCATGCCCAACTAATTTTTGTATTTTTGGTAGAAAAGGGGTTTCACTATGTTGGCCAGGCTGATCTCGAACTCCTGACTTCATAATCTGCCCACCTCAGCCTCCCAAAGTGATGGGATTACAGGCGTAAGCCTCCGCGCCCAGCCATTGTTGTTTTTGAGACAGAGTTTCGCTCATCCGCCAGGCTGAAGTGCAATGGCTCAATCCCAGCTCACTGCAACCTCTGCCTCCTGAGTTCAAGCAGTTCTCCTGCCTCAGCCTCCAGAGTACAGGTGCCCACCACCATGCCCAGCTAATTTTTGTATTTTTAGTAGAGACAGAGTTTTGCCATGTTGGTCGAACTCCTGACCTCAGGTGATCCACCTGCCTCGGCCTCCCAAATTGCTGGGATTATAGGCATGAGCCATCACACCTGGCCCCTTCCTGCTGAGTAAAAGGTAGAATTTCAGGGTAAGCCACTACACACTGCCTGGCATCTGGATAGCCGTCAGCATTCCCCCGCCCTAGGAGGTAGTCCTCTCCCCGTCCCTACAAGGTAATGAAGCCTGAGGGCCCCCAGGCAGGATGATGAGTGAGATTCCACTGGGGATTCAAAAAAGGAAATGTGGTATTTATAGGGAAGTAGATGCTGCCACCTCTCAGTGACTCTGGTTGCATGGAGAAGAGCCAGGGCTAGGGTTTCCTTCGTAGGGAGAAACCCAGCAGGATTTGGGGTATTCTGGGAAGCCAGGCCAGCATGGCTTCAGACCTTGGCTCTCCCAGAAGCTGCTCCTAATTTGGCCATGGTGAGCTTGCTGAGGAGATGGCTGGGTGGCATTGGTGGGAAAATTCCCATTGCTCCAGGAGTGAGTCCTTGAATGGGACAAGGGGTCTGAACAGCCACTGATGAGTGAAGCATTCTGCTGACACCAGGAGTCCTGGCAGCTGCAGGCACCATCTTGGCATGTTCTGACTCCAGCCCCTACACGGACGTGCCAGGCAACCCACAGGGGGCGTGCTGCCTGCATCTGTCCTGCCTGTAGGCAAGGCCTGCATAGGCTGGAGAGGGACTGCCACATCTCATTCAGCCACAATCGAGTTCTGTTCTTCAAGCAGAGGTTAAGCACCTACTGTATGTCTGGTGCTGCAGATAAAAGCTCTCTACTTTTTTCAAGGTCAGCCCCAGACCTGACCCTGAGAAGAGACTTATTTGGAAGACAGTGGGCACTGTCACTGGTTAGCATGGGAGTGAGGGCAGAGGCTCCCAGTGCGGGCTCATCCTGAACAGCAGTGAGAGCAAGGCCAAGAGGCAGGAGGCCCACGCCCAGCCAGCTCTGCCCGCCACTTCCCCTCTGGCCGTCAGTGTCCCCTATAACATCGTGGTGGGGTGGTTAGGCCGGGAGACCTCAAGGACCTCTAGCCAGAGAGTGCTGCTCCTGTGTGAGGTGGGAGGGGCTGATGGGAAGGGGCTTCGTCTCTATCCTCAGCCTCTGGGTCCAGTGGGCCAGGCCCCACCCTCCCAGCCGGCTGCCCCCACCTGGGAGAAGCATTGGACTGCGCTCTTGCTGTGATGCAGTCTTCAGTGGGGCAGGCCAGACACAGGGAGGCCTGGGGACAAAACTGGAGGGGACGCAGACGGAAATGTGACGCTCCTAAGGATTCATTTTGAAAGTTAAAATTAAAATGGGGCAAAATTGGCCAAAACATGCTTTTCCTCCTGATTTTTTTCCATTCCCTAGCCAAAGCCCATATATCTTTAAAGGTGGTCACCGAATGAACATATTTAATGAGCCATCTAATGAGTTTATATATATATTATATATATAAACTAAATTTTATATGTATTATAAATAAACTAAATTATGCATAAACTTATCTATATATAATTTAATTTATATAAAGTTAAATTATACAAAAATCATAATTTATGTATATGAACTCATCTAATGAATTATAATTTAGTTTATATATAACTCATCTATTGAGTTTAATATATAAACCAAATCATTTACAATTTTTATTCATAAAAATTTATATATTTAAATATATAAGTATATAATCATAAATATATGGTGTTGGCCAGGTGTGATGGCTCATGCCTGTAATCCCAGCACTTTGGGAGGCGGAGGCGGGTAGATCGCAAGGTCAGGAGTCCGAGACCATCCTGGTCAAAATGGTGAAACCCCATCTCTACTAAAAATACAAAAATTAGCCAGGCGCAGTGGCAGATGCCTGTAATCTCATCTGCTCAGGAGGAAGGCAAGAGAATCACTTGAACCCAGGAGGTGGAGGTTGCAGTGAGCTGAGATCACGCCACTGCACTCCAGCGTGGGCACCCGAGCAAAACTCCATCTCAAATAAAATATATAGTGTTTACGTATACATATTCATGTATATATAAAGTGACTTTCTGTATATAAAGGCTACTTACATATAAATAGTGCATATTTCCTTTTTTGAACCAATATTTTCATAACATATGCTCCAGAAATGTCCTCTTGGCTTTAAAATTTTCAGAATGTCATCTCTCATTTTTCTGACCTTCCCCATCTGAACTGGCTCAGGTACAGAAGGGTCAGGCCTTAGCTCTTCTTTTTTTTTGAGACGGAGTTTCACTCTTGTTACCCAGGCTGGAGTGCAATGGCACAATCTCGGCTCACCGCAACCTCTGCCTCCTGGGTTTAGGCAATTCTCCTGCCTCAGCCTCCTGAGTAGCTCTTCTAATTTGATCTCTGTGTTTGGCTGTTCTTGCGTTGCTATAAAGGAATGCCTCTGGCTGGGTCATTTGTAAAGAAACGAGATTTAATTGGCTCCTGGTATTGCAGGCTGTCCAGGCATGGCGCCAGCCTCTGCTGGGCTTTTGGGGAGGCCTCAGGGCCTCATGGCAAAAAGCAAAGCGTGAGCAGGCAGGCCACTTGGTGAGAGAGCAAGAGTGTGCTCAAGAGGGTGTGAGGGAAGGTGCCACACATTTTTAAACAGCCAGATTTCTAGAGAATTCACTCACAATCCTGAGGCAGCACCCAAGGGATGGTGCCAAACCATTCATGAAAAATCCACCCCATGACCCAGTCACCCCCCCACCAGCACCACCTCTAACACCAGGGATTAGGATTCAGCATGAGATCTAGGGGAACAAATGTCCAAACCATACCCTCATGTTCTCCCAGCAGACACTGAGAAGCCCTTGCCCAGCATCAGGTGCTGGGGCACTGAGATGGTGAGGACCCCGTCCAGCTCTCAGGAGCCCTCTGACTGTAAAGAGCTGAGTCATGATCAATACAAGGTAGTCTGCTAGAGGGATGTGTTAGAGCCCAGAAGAGGGAGTTGCTTGCTCCCCTTAGGATGGAGTTGGTAAGGGAAGGTTTCCCAGGGTTAAGTTCAAGCCAGGTTCTGAGGGATGCGTAGGAGTCTGACAGGCAGAAGAAACAACTTGAGTAAAAACTGGAAATGTAACAGAAGCATTGCCCTGGGAGACTGGTTGTGGGCAGAGGGCTTGCCCCACAACCTGCTGTGCCACTGAGGGACGTGGGTCTTGTGATCTGGTGCTCCTCCCTGCCCAGCCCCTTCTTCTCTCTGTGCAGTGCCGGGGGAAGACATTTCCCTCCATCCATCTATGGGCCCGGCTCCTGTCGGCACTGGCTGGCCTCCTCTATGCCTCGGCCATTGTGGCGCACGACCGGCAGCCTGAGTACCTGCTTCGAGCCACACCCTGGTTCCTGACCTCCCTGGGCCGCGCTGCACTGGACCTCGCTGTATCCACCCAGGCCTGGGGAGCTCCCTGCCTGCAGCCAGAGGAGGCCTGTGTCTCCACTGCTCCCTGCCCCTGCCCCACTCTCCTTTTCTCTTGTTAGATGGAATTCTCCCAGCAGCCAAGGGATGGTTTGAAGGTTGGGGCAGGCAGGCTGTGTGTGTGGTGGCTCATACCTGTAATCCAAGCACTTTGGGAGGCTGAGGCATGTGGATCCCCTGAGGTTGGGAGTTCGAGACCAACCTGACCAACATGGAGAAACCCCGTCTCTACTAAAAAAAAAAAAATATATATATATATATATATGTATATATATATACACAAAATTAGCTGGTGTGGTGGCACGTGCCTGTAATCCCAGCTACTTGGGAGGCTAAGGCAGGAGGGCAGGAGAATCACTTGATCCTGGGAGGGAGGCGGAGGTTGCAGTGAGCCGAGATCAAGCCATTGCACTCCAGCCTGGTCAACAAGAGTTAAACTCCATCTCAAAAGAAAAAAAGAAGAAGAAGAAGAAGAAGGTTGGGACAGGCAAACACAAATGCAATTATTTGTAGTTTTATGTTTCCCCCTTTTTTTTTTCTTTTGAGACAGAGTCTTGCTGTGTTGCCCAGGCTAGAGTGCAATGGCGTGATCTCAGCTCCCTGCAACCTTCACCTACCAAGTTCAAGCAATTCTCCTGCCTCAGCCTCCCAAGTAGCTGGGTCTACAGGTGCGTGCCATCACGCCTGGCTATATTCTGTATTTTCAGTAGAGACTAAAAATGTTTGTATTTTTAGACGCTGCCTGTGGGTGATGGCTGTGCTGTGTTGGTGGTGGGGTGTGTGTGGGCAAAGCAGGGCCGCACCCTCTCTGCAGGTGCTAGAGGGGAGTCTTCGCTTGCGTCTTCCAGCTGCTGGTGGCGCTTGGTGTCCCTTGGCACATGGCAGCATCATTTTCATTTCTGCCTCGGCCTTCACATGGCCCTCTTCCCTTTGTGTATCTTCGTGTGTCTCCTTTTCTTACAGGGACCCCAGTCGCTGGAGTCAGGGCCCAGTCTAATCCACAATGACTCCATTGTCTCTAATTATATCAGCAAGGACTCTACTTCCAATAAGGTTACAGTCTGGGCCAGGCGTGGTGGCTTACATCTGTAATCCCAGCACTTTGGGAGGCCGAAGCAGGTGGATCACCTGACCAGCCTGGCCAACGTGGTGAAACCCTGTCTCTACTAAAAATACAAAAATTAGCTGGGCATGGTGGCAGGTGCCTGTAATCCCAGCTACTCAGGAGGCTGTGGCAGGAGAATTGCTTGAATTGGGGAGGCAGGGGTTGCAGTGAGCTGAGATCATGCCACTATACTCCAGCCTGGGCAACAGGGAAAGTCTCTGTCTCAAAAAAAAAAAAAAAAAAAAGTCACGTTCTGAGGTGGATCTGAGTTTTTGGGGACACCATCCAACCCACCACATGTATTGTCACTGTAAGCCAGGCCTGTCAAGAAAGATGTTCCAGGCCAGGCATGGTGGCTCACGCCTGTAATCCCAGCATTTTGAGGGGCCAAGGCAGGCAGATCATGTGAGGTTGGGAGTTCGAGACCAGCCTGACCAACATGGAAAAAACCCTGTCTCTATTAAAAATACAAAATTAGCCCGGCATTGTGGCACATGCCTGTAGTCCCAGCTACTCGGGAGGCTGAGGCAGGAGGATCGCTTGAACCCGGGAGGCAGAGGTTGCGGTGAGCTGAGATTGCACCATTGCACTCCATCCTGGGCAGCAAGAGTGAAACTCCATCTCAACAACAACAACTACAAAAAAAAAGGAAAAAAAGATGTTCTTCATAATGCTTTTGTTTTGCAAATATTTTCCAAGTGCCTGTTAGGGACAGGGTCTCATTGGGTTCTGGGCCCTTGTGGGAACAGGTCTATGTGTCTTCAGACGAGCTACTCTCTGTCCCAGGCAGGATAAAACTGGGGAGGGAGGAGAGTAGGTGAGTCGGGGTGGGGGGCAGCATGGTGTGAAGGGGTGAAGAGCCGCAGTAGGTGGCTGGAATCTGCTTCCTCCCTTAACTTCTACCGTCTCAGATTATTTTCCTTTCGTGTGTGATGAAGAGCAAGATGAGACAGGCGTTGGGATTTGCCACTGAAGCCAGAGAAAGCCCCGACAGCCAAGCCCTTTTGACCTGTGCAGAGAAAGAGGAAGAGGACCAGGAGGCGAGCAACGAGCACAAGGTCTCTGGCTGGAAAACTCTGGTCCCAGCAACAGTATCTTGAGAAACAGCAGGATGCTGTGGACGTGTGAAAGCTGCCTGCCGAGTGTTCTCTGCAGGCGACAGACAGCTGTCCTGTGTTGCTGACACACAGTGGTTAAACCTAACATGACATGTAACGGGCCCATTGTGTTTACTGGTATGGAGTGGACGGGGCAGTGAGCCTCCGTGAGGGATAGGACTTAGGAATTCTGGAAGTCCCTCCCTGCTTGGCCAGTTGGTCACTTGATTTTTATTTGTATTTTATTTTACTTTATTTTTATTTATTTATTTGTTTTTTGAGATGCAGTCTCGCTCTGTTGCTCAGGCTGGAGTGCAGTGATGCAGTCTTAGCTCACTGCAACCTCTGCCTTCCGGTTTCAAGTGATTTTCCTGCCTTATCCTCCTGAGTAGCTGGGATTACAGACACATGCCACCACACCTGGCTGATTTTTTTTTTTTTTTAGATGGAGTCTCACCCTGTCACCAGACTGGAGTACAGTAGCGAGATCTCAACTCACTGCAACCTCCGCCTCCTGGGTTCAAGTCATTTTCCTGCCTCAGCCTCCTGAGTAGCTGGGACTATAGGTTTGTGCCACCACACCCAGCTAATATTTGTATTTTTAGTATAGACAGGGTTTCACCATGTTGGCCAGGATGGTCTTGATCGCTTGACCTTGTGATCTGCTCGCCTCCCAAAGTGCTGGGATTACAGGTGTGAGCCACCGCACCCGGCCAATTTTTTGTATTTTTAGTAGAGACAGGGTTTCACCATGTTGACCAGGCTGGTCTCAAACTCCTGACCTCAGGTAATCTGCCTACCTCCACCTCTGAAAGTGCTGGGATTACAGGCATGAGCCAGGGTGCCCAGCCCACTTGGTCACTTTAAAAAGCTACTGTTTATGTTCAAAGCTAAGGGAACCCTGAATGCAATAGGAGCCTCCATTTTCCCAGTTATACAAATATTTTGAAGTTTTTTTGATCACTGAATTACTTAATATATGTTTAGCAATGTAGATGAAATAGTCAAATGCCCACTGAATTCTTTTGAATAATTTACTTAGTGGTATATAAATTCACATGCTACATACCTTAATATATTTATTTTTAAATAATGTGATTTCGGCCAGGTGCTCTAGCCTACACCTGTAATCCCAACACTTTGGGAAACCAAGGCAGGCGGATTGGTTGAGCTCAGGAGCTCAAGACCAGCCTGGGCAACAGGGTGAAACCCTGTCTCTACCAAAAATACAAAAAATCGGCCAGGTGTGGTGGCACATGCCTATAGTCCCAGCTACTTAGGAGGCTGAGGCAGGAGGATCTCGATCCTGGAGGCAGAGGTTGCAGTGAGCCAAGATGGCACCACTGCATTCCACTGCAGAGTGAGACCCCCATCTCAAAAAAATAAACAGGGCCAGGCATGGTGGCTCACTTCTGTAATCCCAGCACTTTGGGAGGCTGAGGCAGGCAGATCACGAAGTCAAGAGTTGGAGACCAGCCTGGCCAACATGGTGAAACCCTGGCTCACTAAGAATACAAAAAAAAAAAATTAGCTGGGTGTGGTGGCGCACGCCTGTAGTCCCAGCTGCTCGGGAGGCTGAGGTAGGAGAATCACTTGAACCTGGGAGGCGGAGGTTGTGGTGAGCTAAGATCACACCATTGCACTCCAGCCTGGGCACCAGAGGGAGACTCCATCTCAAAAATGTGAATAAATAAATTCTGTGATTTTCACTCATACTTCTCCAAAAACCGTATTCCCACTTTCACAGGCATCTTTAACATCTACGTCGTTACCACCACCTAACAGTGCTCCAGAGGCTGTCATCATGCTCAGCTATGATACAGCCTTTGGGAATCGGCTTGTGGTGTTGTCTCCACAAAGTTTTCTCAAGCCACAAAGACCCATTTCCTATTTATGGTCACTGGAATGTAACTGCTTACTCTATTGCTTTTTGTTGTTGTTGATGATAGTGCTAAAAGCTGATCTTTAAAAGTGTTGTTTAGGCTGGGCGCAGTGGCTCACGCCTGTCATGCTAGCACTTGGGGAGGCCTAGATGGGCAGATTGCCAGAGCGCAGGAGTTCGAGACCATCCTTGGCAACATGGTGAAACCCCATCTCTACTAAAAATACAAAAAATCAGCCAGGCGTGGTGGTGGGCGCCTGTAGTCCCAGCTACTCAGGAGGCTGAGACAGGAGAATCACTTGAACCCAGGAGGAGGAAGTTGCAGTGAGCTGAGATTGTGCCACTGCAGTCCAGCCTGGGCAACAAAGTGAAACTCTGTCTCAATATATAAATAAAAAGTAAAAATGTTGTTTACCGTAATATCAAACCTTTATAATTATGTCATGCCACTGCCAAAAGTTAACATGTCCCCTTTTATTGATTCAAATAGGTGATCTCTATAAGTAGCCAGAACTTATTCTATTCTAATTGAAGCCATTTGTCTTCATCAAAAGTCTTTGGGGCCGGGCGCGGTGGCTGACACCTATAATCCCAGCACTTTGGGAGGCCGAGGCGGGTGGAACACAAGGTCAAGAGATCGAGACCATCCTGGTCAACAAGGTGAAACCCCGTCTCTACTAAAAATACAAAAATTAGCTGGGCATGGTGGCGCGCGCCTGTAGTCCCAGCTACTTGGGAGGCTGAGGCAGGAGAACTGCTTGAACCCAGGAGGCGGAGGTTGTGGTGAGCCGAGATCACACCATTGCACTCCAGTCTGGGCAACAACAGCGAGACTCCGTCTCAAAAAAAAAAGAAAAGAAAAGTCTTTGGTTCCAAATAGTTGAGAAAGCACCTCAAAGAAAGCCTATAAGGACTTGAATATAAAGTGGCTTCCTTTTTTCTAAGATTTTTTTTTTAAGACAGAGTTTCACTCTTGTTGCCCAGGCTGGAGTGCAATGGTGCAATCTCAGCTCACCACAACCTCTGCCTCCCGGGTTCAAGCAATTCTCCTACCTCAGCCTCCCGAATAGCTGGGACTACAGGCATGTGCCACAATGCCGGGCTAATTTTGTATTTTTAGTAGAGACGGGGTTTTTCCTTGTCGGTCAGTCCGGTCTTGAACTCCTGACCTCAGGTGATCAGCCCGCCTCGGCCTCCCAAAGCACTGGGATCACAGGCGTGAGCCACCATTCTCGGCCCTTTTATTTATTTATTTATTTTGGAAAAAAATTTCTCATGTATTACCTGAACTCTTCACTACTGACTCCTCTCACAGAGAGTGGGAATGAGGCTGTGAATGAACCTCCTTTGTGACCAGGATGGAGGCAGTAATGGGGAGTGCATTTGGACCAACAAGAATGAAAACTGCTCCTCCGAATGTTCTGCAAATGGCTTACCAATGTGATCTGACTGAGTCAATGAAATAGATCATGGTGTGTGTATATGACAGATGAAAGCGTTTTATATAGGTCCTCAGACCAGAGATCCAAGTTCCCAGTGAAGGCCCTAGTGGGAAGTTATTTTCATTTCGTTCTAGCAACTGTTAGGAAATTGTATCCCAAAAGGGGGCCAAAATAGTAACAGGGCGCTGTGTGTCTTGAAATTCTGAAGAGAGAAGTAGAAGCCTTTGGAGTCTCTCTTTAGCAATCCTTCAGAGCAGTGGCCCTAAACCAGGATTACCTAGGAAATGTTAGAAATGCAGATTCGAGGGCTCCACGCAGATCTCCCGAATCTGAAACTGAGGGTGTGGTCCAGCAATATGTATTTTATTTATTTTTGAGATGGAGTCTCACTCTGTTGCACAGGCTGGAGTGCAGTGGCATGATCTCACCTTATTGCAATTTCTGCCTCCTGGATTCAAGCGATTCTCCTGCCTCAGCCTCCCAAGTAGCTGGGATTACAGGTGCCCGGCACCACACCTGGACAATTTTTGTATTTTCAGTAGAAATGGGGTTTCACCATGTTGGCCAGGCTGGTGGTGAACTCCTGACCTCAGGTGATCTGCCTACCTCCGCCTCCCAAAGCACTGGGATTACAGGTGTGAGCCGCTGTGCCCGGCTGCAATCTGTATTTTAGCAAGCCCACAGGGTGCTTCTGATGTGCACCAAAGGTAGAGAACCACAGCTTTGCAAAAGCCCTTATTTGGCACCTCTTGCAGTGGTTCCCACATTTTGCTGCATGTTAGAATCATCTGGGGAGCGTTTAAACTATCCACTTTTTTGGTTACATCTCGTACCAATGAAATCAGAATCTCTGTAAGTGGGAAGTAAGTATTCGTCGTTTTGTTTGGAAGACAGGGTCTCGTTCTGTCACCTAGGCTGGAGTGTAGTGCCTCGATCACAGCTCACTGCAGATCGCTGCTCAGTGATCTTAAAACACAAAACCAACCAGGTGTGGTGACTCATGCCTATAGTCCCAGCACATTGGGAGGATCACTCCTGGATCACGTGAGCCCAGGGGTTCAAGAAAAACCTGGACAACACAGTGAGACTTGTCCCTACAAAAAAATTAAAAACATAAAAAATAAAGATTCCTAGCTGATGCTACTGTGCTGCAAAATTTGTCACATCAAAGAGAAAGATAAGATACATCTTATAGGAAGCAGAAAGTGAGATGTGCTGTAAAAAACAAAACAAAACAAAACAAAAAAAAAACCAGAAAATACCACGGGGATTCTTTTGGATAAAATGTGACCTTGTTTTTAGAAAATGCCTCCTGACTTTGAGAATTCTCCTTTCTGTCTCCCTGCCTCTACTTGCAAGAATTCGGATTGGGTGCCTCTCACCACACTGTCACACTGCAAGTCACTGAGGACAATGACAGCAATCAATCGCTACATGGAGCTGACCATCGAGCCTGTGCAGCAGGTGAGTGGCCATCAGTCACATCCAGGGGCCCAAGAGGGTGGGAAGCAGTCATGGAAGGCTTCCGGAGGAGGTGATGCTTTAGCTGAGGGATGAGTAAGACAAAGCAAAGAAGCAGGTAAAAAAGGAGCTCTCCAGGTGGGGGTGTTGGAGAGAAAAATATTTTCTCTGTACCCTCATAACTGATGAAACAGACTAACGAGAAAAAAACCAGCTTTAGTTATTTGTACATGGAAATTTACAAAGAAAACTGTGGCTCAAGGAGGTGGCCAGACGATGGAGGCTTATATACCATATCAGGCTGAATAAAGGAAAAGAGGCTTAGGGTTCCGGGGTGGGAGGCGAGCTGAGGGAGGACCTGTGTGATAAGTAAGGGCTGTCTTGCTATACAGCTAAGAAAGAGTCTCGGGTGACAGGAGTCGTCTCCAGAAGTAGCTCTCTTCCTGGTGCAGAAATATCTTTACAAATGGAAATTTCCTTTATAAATAGAAATTTCCTTTAAGAAAGGGAAAATTTATACTCGATTTTCAGGCAGTTAGGGGATGCTAATATCTCCTGTTGCTTTTCAAATACCTTTAAATCTAAAGAATCCATATGCTGGCCGGGCGCGGTGGCTCACGCCTGTAATCCCAGCACTTTGGGAGGCCGAGGCAGGCAGATGACCTGAGGTCAGGAGTTGGAGACCAGCCTGGCCATCATGGTGAAATCCCGTCTCTACTAAAAATATAAGAAATTAGTTAGGCATGGTGTCACATGCCTGTAATCCCAGCTACTCAGGAGGCTGAGACAGGAGAATTGCTTGAACCTGGGAGGCAGAGGTTGCTGTGAGCCGAGATCGCACCACTGCACTACAGCCTGGGCAACGAGAGTGAAACTCCATCTAAAACAAAAAGAAAAAAAAAAAAGAATCCATATGCTAAAGAGGCATATTTTGGGGTGGCATATGCTGGTACCCTCCGGGAGTGAGGGGAGATGAAAGGGTGAAGGAAGGGGTCGGGTCATTTAGACGTGGAGTCTACCTATCATCTTGAGGGTGATGGGAATCGGGAGGCTTGAGAACTGGAGACTCCGGGTCAGATGTGTATTTTAGAGCCATTCTGGGAAGTTGTTGTGGGTGGCCTGGGGCAGAGGAGACTAGCAGCTGAGCAGCCTGTCAGGGCCAGTCCGAAGCCTGAGAAAGAGGCAGTGTGACTTAAACAGAGGGTGGAGCAGGTGGAGAAGCAGAGACAGAGTTGAGAGAGATGGGAAGTGGAGCATTGGAGGGGTGAGGAGGTGCGGGTGAGGCGGGGGCTCCGGATGACTCCCTGAGTTCTACACGAGGGGTCCTCATGAGGAAGAGGATTGGGAAAGAGGTGATGAGAAGTTCGCCCCATGTCCCACAGTTCCACCCAGACGGTTCTTGTCAAGGTTACCAATGACCTCCAAGCTGCTAAATCCGCCGTCATTGCATTCTGAGATTCCAGAGCTTTGCACCTGGCCACCAGCTGCTCCCGGCGCCTGTGGCCCGCACTCTTCTGTGCTTTCTGCCCCTTCACAGGCTCTTCTTTCCTCGCAGCCTCTGCTGGCTCCTCCTGTAAGCTGGACTGTAGAGAGGGAGTCCAACACCCTGTCCCAGGCAGGCTCCCTGCTCCTGGCGGACCCCTGCAGTCCCACAGTCGCCTCGCTCTGCATATCAGTGCTTGCTGACTTCCCCGGTTCATGTCTCCGTCCTTACCCCTCCCCTCAGCTCCCATCTCAGCTGCCCAGCTGCCCATTCAGCTGTCACCATATGGCATTTCAGTTACCGTGTCCAACACAGAATTCTGGATTTCCATGCCCAGACCGGCTCCTCTCCCCATCCTCATCTCAGTAAATGACGCATTGTCTATGCAGTGGCTTAAGCCCAAAATTCCTCTTTCCTCGGCCCCACCCACATGCCCATCCATTCCTTTTAAGAGTCCTGTAAATGCTTCCTTATTTAAACTAGGTCTTCAGTGCCTCGGCCTCCTGGCTGGTCATCCTCTCCACTTCTCCTCTGGTCCTGCCCTGCCCATCTCTAACAAGCAGCCAGAAGAATCATTCACAAATGTAAATGACATCTTGTTCCTCTTGTTTAAAACACTCCTGGCCAGGCGCGGTAGCTCACGCCTGTAATCCCAGCACTTTGGGAGGCCAGGTGGGCGGATCACGAGGTCAGGAGATAGAGACCATCTTGGCTAAAAAGGTGAAATCCCGTCTCTACTAAAAATACCAAAAAAAAAAAAAAAAAAAAATTAGCCAGGTGTGGTGGCACGTGCCTGTAGTCCCAGTTACTCGGAGGCTGAGACAGGAGAATCTCTCGAACCCAGGAGGTGGAAGCTGCAGTGAGCTGAGTGAGCTGAGATCACGCCACTGCACTTCAGCCTGGGCGACAGAGCAAGACTCAGTCTCAAAAAAAAAAAAAAAAAACCAAAAAAAAAAACAGGCCAGGGCTCTCAGTGGCCCACACCTGTAATCCCAATGCTTTGGGAACCTGAGGTAGGAGTATCACTTGAGGCCAGGAGTTTGAGACCAGCCTGGACAACACAGCAAGACTCCACCTCTCATCTCCTTTTCATTCTTGTCTAGCTACACAGAGTTTCTCTCCATTCCTCTGCCCAGAATGCTCTTCCTCCCAATTTTTCACACGGCTACCTTTTCTTGTCTTTCCAGCTTCAGCATAAATGTCTGCTCCAAAGCTCTTACTACCACGTCTGAAGTAGGACCCCTCTGTCCTACACTCTATTTTATTACCGGTTTCAATTCTCTGCAAAGCACTTATCACTGTCTTTTACTTTGGTTTGTCTGCCTTCTGCTGAGGTGTATACTTTATCTCCTGTCTTGTTGACTCCTGGTGCTTGTACCATTGCAGTCCCAGGCGCTCAGTAAAGGTGTGTTCTGAATACATGGTCCAGTGGTGAGGGCCCCGCCAGGCCGCCCAGACTCACAGGTACCTGCAGAGAGTCTGAGCCTGAGAGAGAGGTTTTGTTCTTTGCCATTGTTGCTCCCTGGATACTGGGTGATCAGAACCTGGTGTATGACCTACGCGAAGTTCAGAGAGATTCAGAGCATGCCTTTACAGCTAGGAGCCCGCCTCAGCCGTGAAACCATCCTTCCGAAGGGAGGGAGGAGGCGGGGCATCCGGGGAATCTCTTGGGAAGGCATGGGAGTTCCTGCAGCATCTGGGCAGAGCTTTGCACTGAAAAGTTGGTGTTTTTTTTTTTTTTTTTTTTTTTTGAGTTGGAGTTTCCCTCTCATTGCCCAGGCTGGCGTGCAATGGTGTGATCTCAGCTCACTACAAACTCCGCCTTCAGGGTTCAAGGGATTCTCCTGCCTCAGCCTCCCCAGTAGCTGGGATTATAGGCGTGTGCCACCACACCCAGCTAATTTTGTATTTTTAGTAGAGATGGGATTTCTCCATGTTGGTCAGACTGGTCTCGAACTCCCTACCTCAGGTGATCCACCCACCTCAGCCTCCCAGAGTGCTGGGATTACAGACATGACCCACGGTGCCCAGCCTGCTCTGGAAAGTTATACTTCATGGGACTTCGGAAGAATAGTGTAAAAGTTGTATTCACTTTAACCCTTCCTGGAGCTCAGTCTTGGCAGGATTCTTGGGAAACAGACTCCATGAAAGAAGAGTGTGTTCCACCTTCATTCTCTCCCACCGAAGCCCACAGGGGTGTCTTCAAGATTCCATCCAGCTTCTTCCTTCTGTGTCCATCAGAGGGCAAGACGAAGAAGCCCCACGCCCCATGGTCCACCCGGGCTGGCAGGCACCTCCCTCAGCGCTGGGGGCACCCCTCCCCTCATAGCCTATCTACTGAGGGGGACGGACTTGCCAGGCTCTGAGTAAAGAACAGCAGCCAACGCTTCCATGGTACTTATGAGTTAGGGTACTGGTCTAACGCTTTACACAGATTACACAGATTAACTCCCCACAGCCGACTCCTGAACTGTTATACTCATTGCACAGATAAGGAAATTGGGGCTTGGAGCAGTTAAGTGACCCGCTCAAGGTCACACAGTTTGTTGGTGATAGAACCAGATTCAGACCCGCCTCTACCTGAGTTTGTGCCATTGACCTCTGTGCCATACAGTCTTTTACTTGGCATAATGGCTGACACCAAGTAAACGCTTGATAAACGGTAGTTTATTCTTAAAAAAATACTACTACTGACTGGGTGCAGTGGCTCACGCCTGTAATCCCAGCACTTTGGGAAGCCAAGGCAAGTGGATCATTTGAGGTCAGGAGATCGAGACCAGCCTGACCAAAAGGTAAAACCCCGTCTCTACTAAAAATACAAAAAAATTAGCCAGGCATGGTGGCGGGCAACTGTAGTCCCAACCACTCGGGAGGCTGAGGCAGGAGAATTGCTTGAACCCAGGAGGCGGAGGTTGCAGTGAGCCAAGATCATGCCACTGCACTCCACCTGGGTGACGGAGCCAGACTCTGTCTCAAAAAAATAAAAAATAAATAAAAATAAAATAATACTACTTACCATGTAAGTGTTAATAAAAATTATCCTAACAACTTTATGAGGAAGTGTCCTAGTCTGTTTCACATTACCATAAAGGAATACCTGCAGCTGGGTAATTTAGAAAGAAAGGAAATTTCTGTGGCTTATGGTTCTGCGTGTTTACGTGGCACCAGCTTCTGCACTGATGAGGCCTCAGGCTGCTTCCACTCATGGAGGAAGGCAAAAGGGAGCAGGTTCCACATGGCAAGAGAGGGAGGAGGGGGTGCCAGGCTCTTTCTAACAAGCAGTTCTTGCAGAACAAAGTGAGAACTCACTCATGTGAGAATCGTACCAAGCCACTCAGAAGGGCTCTTCCCCACGACCCAAATGCTCCCACCGGTCCCCACTTCCAACACTGAACTCACATTTCAACATGAGACTCGGCGGAGTCAAACGAACCACTTCCAAACCAGAGCAGAGAGATACTAATATTATTTCTATTTTCTTTTCTTTTCTTTTTTTATTTTTTTGAGGCAGAGTCTCACT